TCGCCCTTGCTTCGCTAGCCAGTGAGCCTGTTGCACCAGTCGCCAGTGGGTCCGTTGCTCCTGCCGCTCGTCTATAGCCGCGGAGCCAGTTACTCCAGTAGTCCGTCGCCCTTGCTTCGGTAGCCACTAAGTCAGCCGCTCCTGTGCCCGTGCCTCTGCAGCTTCAGTCATTGCCTCCCATCTTCTCTCCCTCCACAGTTCTTCCTCCTCCTCACTTGCCCGCTGTGATTAACTCTAGCTTTGCTCGCTATTGTGAACTTCTGCTCTATGCCTGCTTGCTCATTGTGCTGATTACACCCCACTTTGGCTATGGGGGTGTGTCAGAATGTTATAATTGTCTAGCCTGCAGTGGGGTACTCTATAGCGAGTACAACCCAATTAGGGTTTCCTATATGTATGCCAACTGCTGCTAGTGCAACTCTCTCTTCTTCATTCCTCATTTTTTCACAGCAGGAACGAGTCACAGACTGGCACAGATCAGCGGCGGACATAATGATCTTAGCGGACACTAGGATAGCTTCAACTCACTCTTACTGGAACTCGCTCGCAAGCCTTACCTCCACCTCAGTACTTGCCGCATCTCCTCCGCCTTTGTCGAGAGCCGGCGGGGTTGCGGTGCTCAGCCGTAATCCGCTGGTCTCCTTTCAGGACACTTTGCTGCATCCATCCGGTAGATTAGTTAGAACCACAGTAGGTGGGGTGGGCCTGGAACTCATGCTCTTAGCCGTCTACTTCCCGGCGGACCCGGCCTTGAGAACACTTTTCTTCCGGGATGTCTTGGGCCCGGTGATGGATCAGATCCCCTCATCATCTCACCTTCTTATCATCGGTGACCTTAACCTGATTGAGGACCCCGCTCTGGACAAAACCTCGGGTTGCGGCTCGTCGTCGGAGAACGAGAAGCTTTTTCTGCGTTGCTGCAGGTTCCAGCTCTCCGATGCGTTCCGGGTTCTGCATCCACGCAAGAGAGAGTACACGTTTTACTCAGCGGCGCAGCAGGAGAGTTCACGGATTGACCGGGCGCTGGTTTCTCAATCTCTGCTGCCTCACCTGTCATTGGCGTCCCATGAGATGCCGAAGGAGCCTATTGCGGATCATGGCTTCGCTATCCACGTGGCGTTTCGGCTGGATGCGAAGGTCCGCACGGGGCCGGGTATCTGGAGGCTCCATGCTTCCATGCTGCGCAGGCCGGGCGTTCGGAAGGTCATTGAGGCGACGGTGCGGCGTACACCGGTCAATGACGGCAGTAGTTTCGAGCTTCTGCTGTCGCGGCTGAGCGTTGGTCTCAGGTCCTACGCGAGGGAGGAGGGGAAGCGTGTGAAGGCCACGCTGGCGCACCTGCATCGGGCGGTTGCAGTCTTAAAGCAGGAGTTAATGGGTGATCCAGGCTGCGGGAGGAAGAAGGCGCTGCTGGCGGAAAAGGAGCAGCAGCTAAAGGCGTACCATGCGGCTAGGCGGGAAAAGCTGCATCTACAAGCGGGTTTAACGGCTGAACTCACCGAGGAGATAGCCTCCAGGCATCTCTCCGCTAAAGTTCGGGCTCGGAAAGCGAGGACGCAGATCGCGGAACTTAAGGTCGGTGGAACCACGGTTGGAGGACCCAGGCCGGTGCTGGAGGCTGCGTTGGAATTCTTCACGAACATCTTCGGGAAGGATCGCAGAACTGACTTCACGGGCTGGAAGGTGGCCCCAAGTCGTCGCCTGCAGGAGGGTTTGGCGTCTTTCCTGGAAGCAGACTGGACGGAGGAGGAGGTTAAGAGAGCATTCGCGGCAATGGCGAACAACAAGTCGCCGGGGAGTGACGGGCTGCCGAAGGAATTGTTTGAGATCCACTGGGACCTGCTGGGGTGGAGTTTTATGGCCATGGCGCGGGATTTCCAGGCATCGTCTTCTCTGCCCGACGAAATCAAGGAGGCGATGACGATTCTGCTTCACAAAAAAGGAGAGAAGGATCAACTCAACAATTACCGTCCGATCACCTTGCTGAACTTCACTTACAAGGTTTTGGCGCGGGTGATTGCGGACCGAATGAAGATGGTGTTGCACCAGGTCATCTCCCCGGAGCAGTACGGTTTCCTCCCCGGCAGGCGGCTGTCGGATGCGGTGTCCCTGGTGGCGGACATCATTGAGGCCGCAAGAAATGGAAGCAAGGACTGGCACCTGCTTCTGGTCGATTTTCAGAAAGCATTTGACTCAGTCTCCCGCTGCTTTCTCTTTCAAGTGTTGCGGGGCATGGGCTTTCCTGACCGATTCGTGGGGTGGATCGAGGGCCTGCACAGAGACACGAAGACGCGGCTGTTAATAAACGGATGGCTGGGCGAGGGGATGGAGGTGGTCTCAGGGGTTCGGCAAGGATGCCCTCTGGCGCCCTATCTTTTCCTGTGCGCTGTGGAGCCGTTGGCGCAGGAGGTGGAGCGAAGGAAGCTCGGCTTGTCTGAGGCGGGGCGGCAGCTCGGTTATTTGGGCTACGCTGATGACACGGCGCTGGTCCTGCAGGGGAAGCAGCAGATTGTCAGAGCGGTGCAGTTGCTGTCGGAGTTCGAGAAGGTCTCGGGGCTTGCGACTAATGCGGACAAAACAGTGGTCTTACCTTTGGGTGTTAACACTCAGGTTAATGGCGGTACTTTGTGTGGCTTCAAGCGGGCCGGCGCGGACGATGCAGAGAGGCTGTTGGGCGTCTGGGTGTCTCCCTCCGGCAGCGGTTTACCAACCTGGGAAAAGGCGCTGGGGCACATCAGCGGGAAGTTAGTCAAATGGAAGCAGAAATACCTCACAACATTGGCAAGAGCGACGGTGGTGAACAGTTATATCACGCCGATAATCGCCTTTCAGGCTCAGGTGTACTCGCCCCCGGCAGCCATCTGGGAAGAGCTGATGAGGCTGATTCAAGGCTTCATCTCCGGGAATAGGGTCTCGGGAGCGAAGGGCTTCCAGCTCTGGAGTAGGGAGCTGCTGTTCAAGTGTAGAGCGGCCGGAGGGATTGGAGTCAGGGACCCAGAGATGGTCATCATGTGTCTGGCCGCAAGGAGGGTGGGGCTGTTCCTTACTGAGCGCAACCTGCTGAAGAAGGAGATCATGACGCTGGCAGCGGACCTCCCTCTCGGAGCGGATACCTTCGAGGCGCACGAGAAGCTGATTAAGCACTGGTCCGGTCGTGGCATTCGCTGGAAGCAGACGTGTGAAATTTTCATGCGGTCTCCTTTTGGGACCCGGGTTCCAGCTGGCAGCAGAGAGGAAGTGCTGCGGGAGAGAATTTTTTTTAATCGCGAGATTCTACTAAACGGTACCACGCCGGTCGGAGGGCAGCAGGATGCTCAGCGACTGAAAGGGGTTCGCCTGGGTGATCTGCTGGTGCAAGGGTCTGACGGGGGGCTGGACCTAAAGACCATGGCGGCGTTAACTCAGCAGCTGGGGGGTAACGGCCCGGCTAAGCTTGCTCTCAAGGCACTGAGGGCTCTGCCTGCTGCTTGGCAGAGTCTGTTGGGTTTTCCGACTGTCCCTCCCTGCTCGGCTGACTCCCCTCAGAGGCTGGTGGTGGTGGAAGGGGGCCGGGTTGTGTCTGAGAGGCGGATGAAGGAGGGCTGGTGTGGCACTGAGGAGCAGTCATACAAGCAGCAGAAGTGGGCGGAAAAGTGGCGTGGGACAATTGACTGGAAACGGGCAATTGCGACTAGAGACTCCCTGGCCGCGTGTTCAATGGAGCACTGTCTCCTGCTCTGCCCACGTGTTCAGGTGGTTTCCTCGGCCCTCAGGCGTGCGTTGTGCATGCTGAATCCTGGCCGCAGGATTGACAGGCTGGGTGATCTTTTGTTCCGGAAAACTGGCACCAGCTCGGCATTTCCGGAGCTGACTCTCACCGCCATCACCTTCCATCAGCTCTGGATAGAACGGTGTGAGGCGGTGTTTCGTGGCGGTAGGTTCCGGACGCAGAGGGTTCTATGGAAGATTGCCTTTGCGTTCAGGCAGCATGCAAGGATCTACACTCGGAAATTCGGCTCGGCGCGGCGGAAACAATTGCGATGTAATTATGAGGAGCGGATCATGCTTCGGAGGATACCGTATTACCCCGGATATAAGCGCACCTGCGCTTATAATAAAACAGTGTTTTTTTGGGGGGTGCGCTTATAATTGAGTAAAAATTATAAGCGCATGCGCTTATAATATAACAAATACAAATATATATTTCAATGCACCAAATTGTACATCTCATCCTTCAGATTTCAATCGAATCGAAATTGTAGAAAGTCAGATGTCAAAATCGCGCGCGGGCGATTCTTCGCGAGCGCCCAGAGGCAAAATACAGTGTAACACCTCACTTTGAGGGCGTGCCAGCTCGTGCTGACTGGACGCGCAGGATGTGAGAGGTCTTCGAAAGTCAATGTAAGCGAAAATGGGTTGTGTCCTCGCTGCAAAACTGAGATTCGTTACCGTTTTAATGAAGAATTATAAATAATATTACACATGCGCTTATAATATATAAGGGTTTTATAAGGGGTGCGCTTATAATTGAGGATCGGCCATAAGCGCATTGCTCCAGATACAAGCGCATGCGCTTTTAATAGGCCTGCGCTTATATCCGGGGCCATACGGTAACACACGACGATGTCAGTTGGAAGTGGACAAGTGCGTTTGCAGCTTTGTGGTCGCCTCGGAGGGCGGGTCCCAATGTGCCCTAGTGTGTTTTTGTTTCGGGGTTAGGGTCTGCCCTGCCCCCCACGCACGGTTACGACCGTTCTTGGTGTTGTACGCTTGCTCTTTCGGTGTACTCAACCAATAATAATAATAATAATAATAATAATAATAATTAAAAAAAAAACAAACAAACATAGCCCCACCACATGTGCAATACCAACAACATATCTCCATTTTCATTTTCAATCTGGGACCCTGGACGCGTTAGTTTCAAGTGGACTCGTTACTTTCAAGTGGACATTGGCTCCCTGTATGCATAAAACTGCAAGCCGTTCACATTACATCAAAAGCTCATTCACAGCAAGGTTTTAAAACTCAAGGCCTCCCTCACGAGCACCGTCCGCAAGAGCCTGGATGCGGCCGTGGTACACGAAACCCCCGCGGTCAAAGGCCACCTTGCTGATTCCCCTCTCCAAGCAGATCTTAGCAATCTCCTGCCCCACACGCCGTGATGCCTCCTGCATTGAATACACAAAGACGGACATAATGAGGATTGGATCACAGGGTGTTAAAACATGGAAAAGGGGAAACTTTGTGATTAAGGTTGAACTGTCTGGCAATCGAGACCAGAACTCACATTCAGCTTCTGCACACAGTGCTCAGTGGCACTCTGAGTCAAACTTCACCACAATGAACGAGAATACCCCCCTAGTGTGACTGGCCTTCCAAGGATCAGCATTACAGATCCCTGGGATTACATGAGCACAAACTCAAGCCTTCCTCACATGTACCGTCCGCACATCTGCGCGCCTCGTGCTTTGGTGGGACAAAATCGTTTCTTATTGGCTGGACATCATTTCAGTCGGAAAACTGGAGATAAGTTATGCATGTACCAGTGGGTCCTGTGGTGAGTTTCAGCTCCTCGCGGAGGGGTGTGAGGGACGAATCTCACCACTGTGGGGCTGGCGTGGTTGAACTGAGTTTGGTTGATAGTCAGCTATACGTAAGGATTCAGTGATCTCAAACTAGGTTACACGTACCACAGTGGGGCCGGACGTGAGCTTCAGCTCCTCGCGGAGGGCGGGTGTGAGGGTGGACGCGGCGGCGAGAGTGTGCTGCTTGGTGTCGTCAACCACCTGCTTGCGGGGAAGGCAGGGCAGACAGATGGAACAGCGTGAGGGGATGTTAAGAAAAACGCGTCACATGGCGTAAACACATGCGCGGCGAGAGTGTGCTGCTTGGTGTCGTCAACCACCTGCTCGTGGAGAAGGCAGGGCACACAGGATGCGTTACACAGGATGGATTAGACAGCGGATACCATGAAAGGAAGGGCAGAGACCCAGCTACGGTGAATGCACGGGGACGTCAACACACGGGCGCCGAGAGTACGCCGCGTGGCGTCGAATACACAAGCGTCTGCTTGCGGAAATGTGCGGCACAGAGGATGGATCGAATACATGGCAGGTGGCACACACCCTGGGCACACACACCGAATGTATGAAGACACACGAGAGGCGAGAGTGCGCAGCTGACTGCCGCCTCTGACTCGGTACCGACCTGTGTTCCCCTGTGACCCAGTACCGATCTGGACCGCTCTGAGGCTCAGCACGCACCTCAGCCCCTACTCAGCATCAACCTGTACCCTTTGTGACTCACTACAGACCTGGACCGCTCGGTACCGACCTGCGCCGCTCCGTAACTCAGCACGGACCTGGGCGTAGATGTGGTTGTTGGAGCGGAACACTGCGAGGCGTGGCCTCTCGGTGGTGCCACTCAACTGCGGGAGGGCAGGCGGGAAGCAATGCGGGAGGTAAGAAAGGTGGGAAGTTTGCGAAGCTGCTGTACCCCGGGTGCTACAGGCTAGTTGCTGCAAGCTGGGTGGTCAAGACTGGATACTACAAGCTGGACGATAGAGAGGAGGGCAACGCACAGAACCTGTCATGATGCTTCCTCTTCCTGCTCTCTCTTACACCGCAACTCGGGAATGCTCTGAATCGAGTTCAGATGTCCGATGATCAACGGTACCCACGTATCCGCCAACCAACTAAACGCAGTCTTCGCTACAGTCACTCGCATCTACAGTCCGCCCTGTATTGCAGCTGCACAACCTAAGGCGCCCTTGAGCCGCCTAAGAAGCTGTTTTGGATCACGTGAATCTCAAGGTGGCTCAAGAATTGTGCGTAGGGTACCCACCTAGGGACTCTAACGCCAGCACGCAACGCTTCACGTCGAGCGAGGAGTCTAGAGACCGCATGCGTCGGAAAACGCGAAACAAAAAGGAAGATAGCTTTTGCAACCAAAATCAGTCTTATTGCAACAAAAAGACTAGACAGGACTGCGATCGAAGATCCGTCGAGACTGTGAGAGTGGAAACGCAAACTTTCGAATCGTTTATTCCCATTCTACAATCACCTTCATTGCTCCCCAGGTTCTCAAATCCCTTGTAAACCAATCGACATCTGCAGTTATCCATGAAACACCTGATATCACGCGCATTTCGCCACCCATGAGCTTGTACCTTCTTGCGGATCCGCATGTGACGGTTCTTGACCTTCTCTCTCCGGGTTGCCTCCCTGGCTTCCACTAGCAGAGCCGAGTGGCTGGTTTGACCTGAACAGATGAGAAATGACGCTCACACGCTTAAAACTCCAATCGCTGTCGCCCAAAAAACTGATGAGAAATGACGCTCCCCGTAAAAATCGTTCGCAGAAAAAAAAAAAACCCAATTACTGTTTCTTAAAAGGTATGCTTAAAGACCAATGCTTCGTAAGTATGTACTTGAAACTATGCCTGCCTGCTGTCCGGTTCGTCAGCCGTTCGTTCTACCTTGCACACTGACGGTCATGCGAGCGGTGAACGTCTTCTCAGCCGACAATCCCGAGAATGTGGCAAAGGAGCCGCCATAGACGGATCTCTCTGGGATCCTGAGAGCAGCTGAGCTGAGCTGTGCAGCGGAAGCCATGGCTGGACGAAGCCCGTAAATATCGGTGGGCACGAGGAACTAGTACAAACACAACTGGTCCGCGCCTAGGCTTAGGTACACCACCAGGCAGCAGCAGCGCCTACTAATTAGGTCAGCAAAACGATGGTCCTGAAACGTAGTGGATAGGGCACAGGAAAGAGTTTGAAGGGGTTGTGTTCCGTGATGGGCTTTCGAACATCAATGTTAAAGGTAGAGTTCGGTTTGTCACTTTGCGAGACGGCACAACGCACCACAGTACGGTGGTTTGAACACAGCAATCCTGACTGCGCAGACAGGAAGGAACTGCGCGCGGGGAAAAGCGGGAACCGCCACGTTGCTATGGGGAAAGCGGAGTGTCCACTCAGCCAGCGCGCGTGGCAGAAAGCCTGGGAATGGATGACGGAAGGATGGAACAACACGTGGAGAAGCGAGATGCGAAGTGCGAATGTGACGTGGACACTCAACGAGACTCGGCCTTTGGGGATTTGTGTATTTTCCGGAATCGCAGCACCATCAGAACTTGTTCTTGATGAATAACTGTATGCGTGAGTTTCTTAGTTCTACCGTAAATATTTGCAACAAGGCCATCAGAGAAACCAGTGAGTTCGGAACTCTCAAGAAAGCCAGTAGGCCCTGCACATCATTCCCCACTTCCATAAATTGACAAGATTCTGTGACATATTTTGTCAGGCAATTGGCCGGAGGAAAGCCTCATCATCGATTAACTTCAGCTGGCAATGGACGGTTAAAACCACCTGCACAAAACAAAGGAAAGGAAAGAATATGCACCAATCAAATCAAAACTAGAAGCTTCCACAAATGGACATTGTGAAAAAACGAGCAGAACCACAGTCCAATAAGAAGGGAGCCTGTTAAGGCACATCTATCATATATCACCCACCACCCACATGTATTCCCTTGAAACCCAGCGCACCTCTTCTGTTCATGTACTGACGTGGCTGCCTCTTAGTGGACAGCTTCACAGCGCTCAGCTGATTGGCTCCCTTCACCTCCTTGCCCTGATAGGAGATACAGGGTAGTGGATACAGGATAGGGCACATGACAAGGACAACGAAATGTCCAAAGATATGTTGGCTTATTATGATAATCACCCAAACAGAACCCCCCACACAACATGTGGGCGCGCCCCATACCGAATGCCCATACCTTATCCCCTCACCCATCCCAGCATCTTCTCACCCAGCCCTCCATTTCCCACCCTTTACTCGCTGACCTTGGTGGAGTTGAAAGTACATAAATTCGCCCATCGTCTCCCTTTCGAGTCACCCTCTATACCACCTCACCCAAACTCCCACCCCCTCCTCCCCACCCCTTATCCTCCCTCTCCTCACCCACCCAAGCGCTCACCTTGGTGGAGTTCGAATGGAAGGCCACAGCAATGCCCAGCTTCTGCCTTGCGAGTCACCTCTATACCCCCTCCTTCCTCACCCGCCACTCCCTCTCCTTGCTGCTGTTGAAGTCCATCCGCTTACCTCCATAACGGGGATGCCCCACCTGTATGCCTCCTCACCCATCATTCCCTCACAGCCCACTCCCCTCCCTCCCTCCCTTTCCACCCTTCATTCGCTCACTTGTATGCCTGCTCACCCAACATTCCCCCCTCCTCACTCCCTCACTTTGGTGGGTGTTGAAGTCCATGGGGATGCCCATCATCTGCCTTTCACCTCCTCACCTCCTCACCTCCTCACCTCCTCACCCCACAAACCCCCTGATACATCACTCATCACGCGACCACCTTGGAGGTGTTCATCACTCATCACGCGACCACCTTGGAGGTGTTCATCACTCATCACGCGACCACCTTGGAGGTGTTCATCACTCATCACGCGACCACCTTGGTGGTGTTGAAGACCATGGGAATGCCCATCATCCGCCTTTCAAGGCACATCTGTACCTCCTCACACAAACTTCCTCCCCGCCCTCTTGCCCCCCCCTTTCACTTCCCCATCACCATTCACTCACTCACCTCGGTGCCGTTAAAGTCCATGGGATGTGAATGCCTAGTGTGCCACCTCCATGGGGTGTGCCCGTTCACCTATACCTCCTCACCCAAACTCCCCACACCCCCCCTCTCCTTCCCTCCCTCACTTGGAGCTGTTAGAAGTCCATGGGAATGCCCATCATCTGCCCTTCACCTCCTCACCGCACAACCCCCCTCCTTCATCACTCTCCACTCACTCACCTTGGTGGTGTTGGAGTCCATGGAAATGAGCTGAGCATCATCTGCCTTTCAAGTCACCACAGTACCTCCGCATCAACCCTTGTCCTTCGAGTTACCTCCTCAACCGACACCCCCCGTTCCCTCCTCACCCCTCACTCACTCACCTTGGTGGTGTTGGAGTTCATGGAAATGAGCTGAGCATCATCTGCCTTTCAAGTGACCACAATACCTCCGTACCCAATAACCCTCGTCCTTCGAGTTACCTCCTCACCCAACACCCCCCGTTCCCTCCCACCCCTCCCTCCCTCACCTTCGTGCTGTTGAAAGTCCATGGGAATGCCCATCATCTGCCCTTCACCTCCACACCCCACAAACCCCCTCCTTCATCGCTAAACACACCCGCCTCCCTCCTCCTCACCCTTCACTCACTCACCTTGGTGGTGTTGAAGTCCACGGGAATGCCCATCATCTGCATCATCCTCAAATCCACCTCAGGGTTGCAGCAAGGTGACATGCCTGTGGCCAAATCAACACCTTGGTGATGCGAAGGTCAAGTCTCCTTTTTACCCGCCACACGCTCACCGCACTCACCTTGGTGGTGTTGAAGTCCATTGGAATGCCCATCATCTCGCCTCTACCCATCGTCACCCATCCCAACATCCCCTCACCCAACCCCTCATTCCCTCACCCTTCACGCGCTCACCTTGGTGGTGTTGAAGCCCATGGGAATGCCCATCATCTCGCCTCTACCCATCGTGACCCATCCCAACATCCCCTCACCCAACCACTCATTCCCTCACCCTTCACGCGCTCACCTTGGTGGTCTTGAAGTCCATGGGAATGCCCATCATCTGCATCATCCTCATTTCCGCCTCGGGGTCAATGGGGGGCGGGGGAGGCGGTGGCAGAGGCGGCATAGGGGGCAGCACAGAAGGACCGCCACCAGCAGCAGCATCAGCAGCACTGGCATCACCGTAACCACCCAGTGATGCATCAGCAGCTGCCATATCCACATCCCCTCCTGCCGCACCCCCTGCACCACCACCACCATACGCCCCACCATACCCGCCATACACCCCACTACCACCGTAATACCCGCCCCCAGCATCACGAGACGCGTCGCCTTCCAACCCCCCTCCCCCCCCTCCCCCATCCCCCCCGCGTTCCCACCTCCTCCCCTTCCCTTCCGCCCCCAAACGCCCCCCCTCTCCGCCCATCCCCCTCCCCCTCGGATCCGCTCCGCTCAAGGCTATCCCGCTCCCGCTCCTCCCGCCGCCTCCGCGCCTTCTCCCCCGGAGAGGGGGACCTTTCCATGGCGTCCCGCTCCCTCTCCTCTCTCGCCCGCCGAACGCGCTCCTCCTGATTCGGCGATCTCGAACGCGATCGCGATCTAGACAGAGAGAGGCTCAGCGAAGCGGATCGAGATCTAGATCGGCTGCGCGATCGCGATCGCGATCGGTGGTGGCGCGAGCGCCGCTCGCTCCCCCTGCGCGCGTGCCCCCCTTTCCCGTGCCCGCGCGCGCCCGCGAACTCCCCCGCGCGCCTTCCGCCGGCGCGCGCGGGAGAGGCGGAGCGCGAGCGGGAGCGGAGGAGGCGGGGGGACCGGGAGCGGCTGCGGGAACGCCTTCGGCGGGAGGGGCGGTCCGCTTCGGGCGATTTCTTCCGCACGTCTTTATCTTTCGCTGCGCCTCGGTCCTTCTCCTTGTGTCTCTCTTTCTCGCGGTCCCTGCTCCCCTTCTCCTTCTCCTTATCCTTCGCCTTCTCTTTATCCTTCTCCTTCTCCTTATGCTTATCCTTGTCCCTTCCCCTCTCCTTCTCCTTATCCCGACTTTTGTCCTTCTCCCGCTTCTCCTCTTTCTCCCTATCTCTCTTCTTGTCCCTCTCCTTGTCCTTCGATTTCTCTTTCTCCTTCTCCCTTTCTTTCTCCTTCTCCTTAACCCTAGTCTTATCTGTGTCCTCCATTCCCCTGCCTTTCGCCTCCCCTGCTTCTCCCTCCTCCTTCAACTCTCCCTCCTCTCCTCCCTCTCCTTCCTCTCCCTCCTCCTTACCCACCTCCGCCAAACCAGTCCCTTTGTCTTCATCCTTCTTCTCACGTTTCATCTCCTCCTTCTCCTTCTCCTTTTCCTTCTCTTTCTCCTTCTCCTTGCTTTTCTCCCTGACTTTTCTCTCCTTGTGTCTTTCCGATCGTTCCTTTTCCTTATCGCCTCGATCCTTATCCCGACCCTTATCCCGACCTTTCTCCCGATCCTTATCTCGATCCTTATCCCTGCTTTTCCTCCTTTCTCTGTCCTTCTTACTCTTGTCATCTTCCTTCGCCGCCAAATCACCGCCTTCCGTTTCTTTTACTTCTCCCACGTCATCAGCAACATCCGCTGGCTGATATGCCACGTCATTCCCATCATCTCCCTCGGGAGCTCCCATTTTATTTTTTCGAAAAACGGACGACCAGATCGAACTAAAGAGCGCTGGGATCACACCAGAGAAAAACGGCTCTTAATTGGGGCAGTTTCTACCAAAGTCGCCTGCTTGAACTTCTGATGATAACAAACACCACCAACCGATAGTATAATCGCTGGCTTCTACGGTTTTGCTTGCAGTCCCTGTGCGCGTTTCCCTGGTGTAATCGAATAAGAAGAGGACTTGCGCCGACCTGCTGCCTAAGATCCAAGAGGCAACTTCTAGAAACTGAATGCTAGAATGGAATGTGCTTCGAATGAAATGCTGTGCTGAACCGAAGACTGATCGCTTGTGTAGCCTTGATTCTATCACGCGTCACGAAAGTGTAAGGGCGTAGTTACACGTCACGAAATCTGTCCCGATGAAACTAGGGTTTCCACGTTCTGAGATTGCAACGAACGCTACGGTTCGCGAACACAAAAGGGTTCGTATGCCAAGTTCTTTGCGTTCACGCCTTGAATCTGCAGTAGCAGTTATGTTCAACTGTTTTTTTCTTCTGCAGATCTGTCCCCTTATCGCAGCACATTGTAACGAATAATGTCGTCCATACCTAAACCCTGGTCAACCAACCACTGAGAATCTCTAGCCTAGGGCTCTACGAAATAGGCTGGCTCCGGCCGCACCGCGTTCTCACATTCTGAATTCGCCGCCCGACACGCGGAGCGACATCGTGCCTCTCGGTTGGCATTCTTAGTATGTAGCTTAGGGGTCGACGCACTGCTGGTTTTTGCTTCAGCGTTGTATCATATCACGACACCAACACGTATTTGTTATAACGAATCATTTTCGTACTTCCTTCGATCTCTTCCCTCGATCGAACTCCTCCCGTGTGCATAGGAGCTTCGCTAGAACCATCTTCGTTGTGCGGACTTGGAGAGGCCTTGGTCCCGCATTTGCCACGTCAGCGGTTTGTCTTCGTCGCGATGGTGTTTTACTTTAAAGTGCGGCCCGAAGCGGGCGACTTCACCATCTACATGGGACTCGATAAGTTTGAGAACGAGCAGCTCATTAAATACGGCTTCCCGGAGGACATATGGTGCGTCGAATCTGCGTATAACGGGGATTCTAGTCCTACGAGAGTTGTGGGGGTCTTGATAGGCTTTCTCGTCAATTGTGGCTTTCTGGGAGGAAGATATGGTCCGTAGCGAAGACGTATGTAACGAAGCGTTTGTGTTTCAAGGTTGAGCGGCATCACAGCCGATCATGGGTTCGCATGGATGTGAGTAAGTTCGGAAGCCTAGCAACTCGCAAAATGCGCTTTGTCGGAAGACGTGTGGTGCGTATCGGAGCTGTTCGTAACGGAAAGTCCTGCCATTCTTTGAAAGTGCGCTAGCGGCCGAGGTGCTTTAAAATCAGAGGCTAGCAACATCACCTGCACCCTCTGGATTTGAGGCGTCGGGAAAAATCCGCAAGTAGGGTTTGCGATGATTGGGGGTTGGAGAGAAAGACGAAGGTGCGCGTCCGTGTGTGCGGGGAGGGGGGGTGGAAGGGGGAATGGAATGGGTGGTGCGTGTGCTTATGCACTCTGCACAACTCTTCTGAGGGTTCCACGTGGACAGTGGACTCACACGTGGACATGTACAGAGCGATGTCTTGTCGGGTTACCCAGGTCCGACCCCCTTACGTCCGCTCTTTCTCCTTCCCCTTCCCCTTCCCCTTCCCCCACCCCCACCCCCACCCCCACCCCGCGCCCCAACAACCCACCTCCCTCCCCCTCCCCACCCACAACCCATCTCCTCTGCTACTGTGAAGGTTCCACGTGGACAAGCTCTCGTCCGCGCACGTGTACACAAGCTGTCGTCCCCTTCCCCTTCCTCTCCCCACCACTCAGCCTCATTGTCCGCGCTCCTCCCCTTCCTTTATGTGCAGGTTCCACGTGGACAAGCTCTCGTCCGCACACGTGTACCTGCGGCTGCGCAAGGGGCAGGGCATTGATGACGTCACGCCCGAGATGCTGGAGGACTGCGCGCAGCTGGTCAAGGCCAACTCCATCATGGGTGGGTTCAGAGCGGTTGGAAGTGGTTGGGGGGGCGGGGTTGTGGTTTGAGGGCCGGATTCCCGAGGGAGGGGCTGGGAGGAAGTGGTGTATGTAGTGGTTGGGAAGGGTGGGTGGGTGGACAGGCAGGGCAACTGGTCAAGGTCGACTTCATCATGCATGGGTGGGTTGAAAGCGGTTCCCGGTGGTTGGGCTGGGTTGGGAGGTGGCTCTTGAGCCACCTCCCATTCTCTCAACCTCCCAACCTCCAAACTTGGACGTGGTGTACACGCCTTGGGCCGACCTCTACGTGGCTTCATGGAAGCATACCCTTCCCCCTCCCCTCCCTCCCCCCCTCTCCCCCTCTCCCCCACCCCCCCCACACCTGCAGGCAACAAGCTGAACAACATCAACGTGGTCTTGACGCCCTGGGCCAACCTCTGTAAAGAATACACGCAGTCTGAACCCCGGTGTATTCTCTCTCTTCTTTCCCCTTCCCCTCTCCCCTCCCCCCCACCGCACCTGCAGGCAACAAGCTGAACAACATCGACGTGGTGTACACTCCCTGGGCCAACCTCCGAAAGGCAGCTTCCATGGACGTTGGACAGGTGAGGTGTGGGGCGGGTGAGGTGTGGGGACAGGGCACGTGAGACGTGGGGCAGGTGAGACGTGGGGTAGGTGAGACTTGGGGCAGGTGAGACTTGGGGCAGGTGAGACTTGGGGCAGGTGAGATGTGGGGCAGATGAGGTATGGGACTGGTGGGATGTGGGGTAGGTGAGATGTGGAGGAGAAGGAAGGCAATGAGAGGTGGTGGTGATTGAGTGCACTGGCCAATGCTACACCCCATCCCCTATATACACATGATTCTTCCTAACGAATCAGCCTTTCCAGCCCTAAGGAAGGTGGTGTGGTGTGTTGTGCGCGAGGGTTCAGCTCCTGTTTTGAGTCGACTTCAGCTCCCCGTTCCTGCCTTGGCGATGTCGTGTTTTGAGTCGACTCGAAACACGACTCGAAACGAGGGGGTTCAGCTCCCCGTTCCTGCCTTGGCGATGCTTCCGAACCTCAAACCCGAACCCTAAACGGACGGACTTTCAAACAACCCAAACCCATAACCCCGACCCACTTGAATTGAAACCCCTAACCTGAAAACCTAACCCCAAACCCGAACCCTAAACGGACAGTTAGGTTTCCATCCACAACCCCGCGGCGGTGCGCAGCTTGCTAGTGGAGAAGCGGCTCAACGCAAGGAGGCGGTAGTGGTGACACGGAACCAATGGCTGCACCTCATCTCATCCCCCATACAAACATTTCCTCTTGCAGATTGGTTTCCATCCACAACCCCAAGGCGGTGTGTAGCTTGCGAGTGGAGAAGCGGCTCAACGCAAGGAGGCGGTGGTGGTGGTCGTGGTTTACGAAACTAGTAATTGCCAATCTATACACCCGATCCCCCATATGAACTCAACTCGTTAACAGATTGGGTTCCACAACCCCAAGGCGGTGCGGAGCGTGCGGGTGGAGAAGCGGCTCAACGAGGTGGTGAACCGGCTGAACAAGACCAAGGTGGAGAAGACGCCTGACCTGCAAGGTGGGTCAAAGTGGGGGTGTAGAGAGACATGGGTTGAGATGGATTCTTCAAGGTGGTGACCCGGCTGAACAAGACCAAAGTGGAGAATACGTCTGATCTGCAAGGTGGGTGCTTGGAGTGAAGGGGTTGCAGAGGCGGTGCAGTGCAGAGGGGTTTCCCTGAGTCCATGCCCAGTGTTGGGTGGTCCATGCCTTGGCTGGCGCATGCCATAGTTGGTGAACTGGCTGGCGCATGCCCGACTTGCAAGGTTGGCTGATTTGAAGTGTTTGCACAAGTTGGTTGAAGTGGGTGTCAAAGGATTTTCTCTGTGATGTTTTTTTCTTTCTTTGTTTGTTTGTTTTTGTTTGTTTGTTTGTTTGTTTGTTTGTTTGTTTGTTTTTTTCCCACTTTATTTCAAACCGTCAGCCATCTCCTCCCAGCTTGATGCTTCCCCTCAAATCATTTTTTTTTGTGTTTTCTCGTACTTGGCATTGCTTCTGCTTCGCTGGTGCTTTTGCCTTGTGTGCGTGCCGTGCAGCTGAGAAGGAAGCTAGAGAGGCAGAGGACCGAGCAGCAAGGAAGGCAGTCCTGAGAGAACAGGTGAGAGCGAATCTTTGATGGTTTCGTTACATCTTCTGCCACCTTTGTGTACATGATGCGCACTTATGCTGTCTAGATATTAGAGCCATTTTACCATGGTTAGGCGGCAGGTATGACGGTTACAACAGTAACAATGTGCGATTCTTCTTCCCCCTCCAACTCACCCCGCGCCCCGTCCCCCTACTTCTTCCGCCTCCTTTCGCCCCGCTATGGATTTTGTATTTCACAGGCTCGACGCGAGCAAGAGGAGAAAGCTTTGAAGCAGCGGCAGGCGGAGTTGCGGAGTTACAAGGGAATTATGGTGGAGAAGAAAATGACGTCAAATAAAGATATTGCCGCAAAGATGGAAGGGAAAAGCGTACAGGACGTCGAGGATGATTTTATGTGACGAATAGTTTGTGTGACCCCATTCTGTTGGTGCTATGCATGCTTATAAGCTTGTATTTTTCCTAAATCACTCAATAAAGTTGTCCAGCCTTGTAGATCCTCGCATTCTGGTTGCTACATTAAATATTTACTGTACAAGTGGTAGGGAAGTCATTACAGCGAGGCAAGCTCGAACCGAGGACAATCGTCCACCAGCCATAAAAGCCCTTCACGTCTCCCCCTCAACCCCTCAGCTCAGCCGTCTCTCAAATCCCGCACCGCCTCTCCTCTGATCAAACCACCTATACTTTCCGCGCCCGTGCCGCTCCGCCTAGGGGTATAGGTGTTCGTGGCCGCCGAAGCGCATTAGTTCCGCGCGCCTGAGTGTACCGCCCTTTCAAACCAACTCTTATCCTTCGCTTGAAGAAGCCGACTTTCTGGGGAATCTGCGGACGCCGCCGTTTTTCGGAACCTGCGGACGCCGCCTTGCACCCAGTGCCTGCGGCCCGCGGGCCCCGCCTTGCCGTGGAAAGTCCACCTAAATCCTCCCACACCCTTCCGCCATCTTCCCTCCACCACCGCACGCGCGGATGTCGTTCCGCCAGCGCGTGTGGGCCCGGCGGGAGTCGCTGGGGGGAATGGTGCTCGCCGCGTCGTGCTGCGTGCTCGCGCTCAACCTCTCCGCGCAAAGACGCGCGCTGGGGGAAGCGCAGCGAGCGCTGGCGGAAGCCCTTACGGAGTCGCATCTGCAGGCGGATCTTCTGGAAGCAGAACGGCGGTCAGCGGAAGCTGCGCGCAGGGCGGAGGCGGAGATCCGCGGAGAGTTAAGGCGGTTGCGCGCGGAAATGCGGAGAGAGGTGGGGAAGGCGGGATGGGGGCTGGCGGAGAGGATCAGGGCGTTGGCGGGGCAGGAAGAGGAGGAAGGGCAAGCGGGGGAACAAGGCGAGGGGGAACGAGCGGGAGAGGGAGAGGATGGGGAAGAGCGGAGAGAAGAGGAGGAAAGGGGAGACGGAAAGGTTACGGCAGCAGTGAATGAAGGGCAGCAGCAGCAGCAGCAGCAGCATGCAGAGGCGGGATTGAGTGGGAGGGAGGGAGAAGGTGGAATAGCGGGCAGTGAGCCTTCAGCAGGTAGGCTACACGCACGGCGTCTTATGGCATTGCCCCTTACGGCATGTCATGGCGTTTTATGGCATGGTGTGTTATGGCATAGCATGGTATGGCTAGGTAACTGATTGACTTGGCATGGTTAATCCTCCCTCCCTCGCTCTCCTCCTCCTCCTCCTCCTCCTCCTCCTCCTCCTCCTCCTCCTCCTCCTCCTCCTCCTCCTCCTCCTCCTCCTCCTCCTCCTCCTCCTCCTCCTCCTCATCCCCCCCTCCTCCTGTCCCTCCCCTGTTTGACCTTCCTCAATGTTTTTTTTTTTTTTTTTTTGGTATTCTCTCACCACCCTTTTCAAAGTTTTGTTGCATCCTTACCGTGTCTCCATTTGGATTTCGTTTTCATTTTAATGCGTCCTTTCCTAGAATCGCGGGATCATGAATGTTTGCATGTGTGATGGAGAAGGGGGGAGCAGGAGAGTGGGTTGTGTTGGTGTGCCCATCCTTACACCTGTGTTGGTGTTGGTCTTTAAGGCGGTTAATTGCTGTCTAAATTGATGCCCTTTGGTTTTGTGTTGTATGCGCCTTAATTTCTGTCCATGGTGTGGCAGGGCCTTCAGCATCTAAACCCAAGAGATTTTTCGTCTGAGAAGCAAGAAACTCCTTTATAGAAACGTTCAAAGCGATGTACCTGAGCTATGTAAAAGGCATAATATTGTAATTTTCCTTTTACAGGAGCGAATCCGCCCTTATGAGTGCCAGGTTGTTTGCTTGGGGGTGGCGAGGGTACCTTCCCTTAGCAGATTCATTAGTAGTCGAGTAGACGTCGTTCCAGGCCAGAAAGTCGATACCCAGGCAAAAACGTCGTAGCGCTGATAACGCAGATTCCGTTCGTCTAAACTCTGTAAATGAACAGTTTTTCGTGGATTGCGATCATGTGTCTTCGATAGATAGCTGACGCCGATTGATAAAACCCGCGAATCTATTACAGGCTCGCAATGGCCGTCAGTTGCGGAGAGCAGCAGGCGAAGACTGGACGCCACGCATTTTCGGTCGATTTATGCTGAAGTGGACCGGGGTGGGGTGATCTGGACGGTTGGATTACGATTCAGTGAAATGCGCGCTTCCAGGCCGGACGCGTACTGAAAAGCTTCGAGATTAGCACGTGAATGCAACGCAACCTCTTCTGTAGTTTCTATCTGCTGTAGCATTTGTAACGCACGCGTTTGTAGCACTCGCGTTTGTAGCACACGAATTTGAAGCACACGAATTTGTAGGACACGAATTTGTAGGACACGCGTCTGCACTAGCCAGGCGGCATGAGTCGCGCGGTGCTAATCAGCGCGCGAGGCGGCGGCAGCGGCGGCGCGTTCGGCGCGAACCGCATCGTGGTGCTGTTCACCGTGTCGCTGCTGCTCGTGGCGTCCGCAGCCGCCTCCTTCTTCGCCTTCTGCCCGGCCTCCTCACGCTCTATTGACGAAACCAAGGTAGGGGCCAACAAACCCGTGGGGATCCATAGATATAACCAAGGTACGCTGGTGCTGTTCACCGTGTCGCTGCTGCTCGTGGCGTCCGCAGCCGCCTCATTCTTCGCCTTCTGCCCGGCCTCGTCGCGATCCATCGACGAAACCAAGGTAGGCTATACTGGAACCATTTCTGCCAATAGAGTTTTGAGACGTTTCAAAACTTCTGCCCGGCCTCGTTGCGATCCATCGACGAAACCAAAGTAAGCGTATACCCTTTTGAGAACGCGAAAACAATGCTCCAATCCCCCCCCTCCCTTGTCCACGTGTTCGCGTCCATCCACAAAACCAATACCAAGTCAACCGAGTCAACAGGGGCAACAGCAGGTCAACGCAATCCCACTCATCCCTTCCATCCCTCCTCAAACCCCCCCCCCCCCCACCCACCCCCTCCCCCCTCCCTCCCTCCCTCCCCCCTTCCAGCAGCACCAGCGGCATCTGCAGCAGGAGCAGCAGGAGGGGGTGGTTGGCAACTTCAACGCAAGTCAACCGAGTCAACAGGGGCAACAGCAGGTCAACGGCGCCAGTGAAGGGACAAGAGGAGAGGCAGGAGATGGATCAGGGGGAGGAGCAGCAGGAGGAGCAGCTGCACGGCCGGGCGACCAGGAGGAAATGGATGAGAATCAGCCACCAGAGACTTCGGGGAAATGTCCTCCATCTGAAACCATAGTCAAGGTAACCATTGGTAGGGAGAGTATTGGTGGTGAGCATTGAAACCAGTGTTTTGAGACGTCTCAAAACACTGCTTTCTTCACGGGACCAGGAGGAAATAGATGAGAATCAGCCACAAGCAACTTGGGGAAAATGCCCATCTGAAACCATAGTCAAGGTAAGCATTGGCACGGTTACGGCTAGCATTGGTACGGCCAGCACTACCGCACGCAACTTTTGAGGCGCATCAAAAGTGCTTCAACTACTCGCGCTGCCCCTCTCTCTCTCTCTCTTTCCCCTTCCCTCATCGCCTGTAACACCCCCCTCCCATCCCATCCACTGCAGCACAGCCTGTGGCACGCCAGCAGCCGCTACTTTCCCAGTATGGGAGTGTTCCCCCTCTCCCTCATGGACACATGCTTCAACTACTCCCTGTTTCCTTCCCTCTTGTCTTCCCCACTACCCGCAACCCCTCTTCTCCACTGCAGCACAGCCTGTGGCACGCCAGTGGCCGCTACTTTCATTCAATGGCCGTCTTCCCCCTCTGCTCCATGGATGCATGCTTCAACTACTCGCACTGCCCCGCAGACCCCCCAAAGGAGCCCCTGGTCTACTCCTACTGGCCCGGCCAGCACTACTTCAAGTGGTTCAATGAGACTCGCTGGCACACGGATGATACCCCCTCTTTCCCTCGTGCTTCCCCTCCCTACTTCCCTATCCTGCCTGCTCTCCTCTTCTCCCTTGCAGCACAGTCTCTGGCATGCCAGCGGGCGCTATTTTCACAGTATGGGCGTCTTCCCCCTCTGCTCCATGGACGCATGCTTCAACTACTCCCTGTTCCCCTGTCCTCGCACCCCCCCTGCCCCTTGCAGCACAGTCTCTGGCATGCCAGTGGCCGTTACTTCCACAGTATGGGAGTCTTCCCCCTCTGCTCCATGGATGCATGCTTCAACTACTCCCTGTTCCCTTGTCCTCGCACCCCCCCTGCCCCTTGCAGCACAGTCTCTGGCATGCCAGTGGCCGTTACTTCCACAGTATGGGAGTCTTCCCTCTCTGCTCCATGGATGCATGCTTCAGCTACTCCCTGTTCCCTTGTCCTCGCACCCCCCCTGCCCCTTGCAGCACAGTCTCTGGCATGCCAGTGGCCGTTACTTCCACAGTATGGGAGTCTTCCCCCTCTGCTCCATGGATGCATGCTTCAGCTACTCGCGCTGCCCCGCAGACCCCTCAAAGGAGCCGCTAGTCTACTCCTACTGGCCCGGCCAGCATTACTTTAAGAGGTTCAATGAGACCCGCTGGCACACGGACGATCCTGCCAAGGCGTGTTTCTTCTTTGTGCATATGGCGAGAGGGCAACCGAATGAGTTCACGGATTTGGAGCACTGGGGGGAGAACGGCGCTAACCACGTGCTTATAAGGTGTGTGTGTGGTGTGGCTATAAGGAGTGTGGTGAGAAGATCTGGTGGGTACCTACGATCCTGCCAAGGCGTGTTTCTTCTTTGCGGATTTGGAGCACTGGGGAGAGAACGGCGCTAACCACGTGCTCATAAGGTGGGTTGTTACAAGGAGTGTGGTTTTAGAGAGTTTGGTGAGGTCTGACTTCGTGCATATGGCGAGAGGGCCGCCGTACAAGTTTCCGGATCTGGAGCATTGGGGGGAGAACGGGGCCAACCATGTGCTTATCAGGTGTTTGTTATAAGGAATGTGGTTAATATAAGGTGTGTGCTTGCCGACTAGGTGCCTTCAAAAGAGATGTCAAACCATTACACCATCTCGGTCTGTAATTGTACTACTTCCACTCCTTTCGCTTCTGCGTTGCTCTCTCCCTTCCTTCCCTCATTTCCATCCCCTTTTCGAGTCTCCTTGGCAATGGTTATGGTTGTTTTCCAATACACATTTCAGTTTTCTGCACTCATCTCCTTTCTCTCCTTTCTCTTTTCCCGTTCCTCCTTTTCCTCATTTTCCCTCATATAGTTTCTCAGACTCTTGGAGCGGTCCATCCCCTTTTGGAGTCTCCTCGGCAATGGTTATGGTCACCAACGCACAGGCCACGCTTATGAGAACAGATTTCGACACCTCCATCCCGCTGCCCCAAATGTGGAAAAACCCGCCCGTTGAGCTCCGGAACCTGCCCGCCGGATCTGCCCGGAAATATTTCCTGACGTTCCGAGGCACGCGTTACCTGGGGAATTTGAAGGGTAATTTCCGGAGTGCCCCGGAGTTTAAGGCGTTGCACAACGGCAAGGATGTGGTTGTGCTGACAAGATGCGGGTAAGTTCCGAGTTTACCCAACATTATGGTTCCAGTCCAGGCAAAGGTAAACCCCTCAAACTTGAGGGTAACATGTGCTTTTACCCCAATGTCACAGGCTGTTCTGTGAGTGTAGTTGCAGAGAGATGTGCTTATGCTGACTACTGTGGCAGTATTGGAGATTCCTGTACTAATTTGGTCCACCTGGCAAGCTTGCTTGTTCCTGGTGCTTCCAACTGCTTACTGGTGCTTTTAGGTAAGAACGACTGCCTCAACTGTCTGCAACTCGCCCCTCTTACCTCTGCAAAAGAGTTTCGAGAAAACAAAAAAAAAAACAAACAAGCAAACAAAAGTGTACCACCCCTCTCAACTTTTTGATATCCACCCCCCTTTCTCCCCTCCACCAGGGGATCTACCAATGCCCGCATTCTCGCGGAGGAACCTTCCTTAAAGCCGGAGTGCGACGAGGATGCCAAGCTCTACACTCAGTACGACTTTGCTGACGTCATGAACACCACCTTCACCCTTGCTCCGGCCGGCCGACAAGGGTCCACCTACAGGTTCCTGGAGGTTCGTACCTGTTGCCGGTGATGCGGTAGCGATGTGATATGTGCTGAAGTTATGTGTGTGCGTGCGCGTGTGCGTGTGCGTGTGTGTGTGCATGTGCTGACGTCATGAACACCACCTTTACTCCTGCACCAGCCGGCAGACAAGGGACCACCTACAGATTCCTGGAGGCGTGTTTTCGTTTGTTGCTAGTCATGTGGTAGTGGTGTCTTGTGTTGTCGTGATGTGTGATGTGCGCTGCTGACGTCATGACCACCACCTTCACCACCACCACCTTCTCCTTTGTACTGCATCCCTCACACACCCACTGTGCCCCACTGCGCATGCAAACCCACACACCAAGCGCTAACAGTGGGAGCCATCCCTGTGGTGGTGGCGGACAACTGGCGGTTACCATTCGATGACATCATCTCGTGACATACTGCCATGTCTCATACCACATCACATGCTCCTTTACTCACACCCACACACCAGGCCCTAACGGTGGGAGCTATCCCAGTGGTGGTGGCGGACAACTGGCGGTTACCATTCGACGACATCATCTCATGGCACCGCTTCTATGTCTCATACCAGTACCACATCACATTCCCCATGGCGTGTACTCCATGACTCTTAACCCATGTCACAGGCGCTAACAGTGGGAGCGATCCCCGTGGTGGTGGCGGATAACTGGCGATTACCATTTGATGACATCATCTCATGGCATCACTGCCTGCTGCGCTTCCCCACCGACCAGATGCACCGAATCCTGCCCACCCTCCGAGCCATGGATGAGGTGTGTGATGATGGGGTGTGGATTGAGTGTGTATCAATTCCCGTGGGTTGTGGATGGGGTATGCATGTTCATGGGTTGTGGATGGGGTATGCATGTTCATGGGTTGTGGATGGAGTATGCGTGTTGGGTTGTGGATGGGGTATGCGTGTTGGGTTGTGGATGGGGTATGCGTGTTCGTGGGTTGTGGGTTGAGCGTCACAGTGCCGTATTCCATTGCTTGTGCTTGTGCGTGATCAGCTCATCCCTATGAATCTCTACTATTCTATGTCCATCCATCAATCTCCCCTCCATAATTGCCCTCCATGAATCTCTACTATTCCATTCCATCCCATCCAGCCGGCCATACAGCGCAGGCAGCAGGAGTGTCTGCGGATATACGACAGGCACCTCTCCTCCGATGAGGCTCTTCTTGAATCCGTCATGCTTTCGCTAAAAGCACACATGGGCGTTGTCATGCGCAGACGCAGATAGTGCAGGGTCACACATTCGTTCATTACATTTTTGTTTTCTTATATATGGTTCTTTAGTTATTTCCTGGAGGTACCCATTCTTTCCTGTTATGGAAAGGGTTCCTGTTGATTATCTCAGCATACAAATTCCGTGCCTTTTGTGCAGTTTATCTAAGTGCAGAAGTTATCAGAGGTGATGGTTTTGAAATAAAAGAACTTACTTATACCTCAAATGTATTAGTAAAATTTCACTCACCGTACTCAAACGCACCGTACACCAACTGTGACCCAAGTGCACATATCCCTTTCGTCGTTTGCTAGCACACTCGACAATCACTACGCTGCCTTCGCAACAGCAGGACTCCCGCGTTCTCCGGCTGGTCTCCTGGTTCTGATGATTGCACGATTGTGCAGCTTAGAGTAATTAGTCGTCGCGCCACCCGTCCTTGCCCTTTAGGTTTTCTCAGAATGAAGTGCTCGGAAGAAAAACGCGCCAAATCCCCCAAACCCTCGAAGAAAAAGGCGAAATCAGATTCCCCGTCAGTTAAACCTTCTAAAAAGCCGAAAGCGGCAGTTACAGCCGCAGACGGAGCTGCGAAGAGCCCGCTACGCGCCGATGACGACACGTGGAAGCAGCGCGCCTCGACCGACAAGGACCACGCCGATCTCTCCGGCGGCAGCGACGGCGACGCCGCAGACGGCGCTGGGCTGGCCGCTGGCTCGGCAGCTGCCGGCGCGGCCGGCACGGCAGGAGGGGGCGAGGCCGGCGCGGGTGATGGCTATGAGGAGGAAATGACGGGACTGGTCCTTCGCAACGAGGAGTTTGAGGATGGCAACACGGGCGGCAGCGGCAGCGGTGGCGTGCGATGCCTGCACGAAGTTGCGTACCCCAAGGGCTGGAAGCTTCCTACCAGCAAGGAAGCTGCGCGGAAACCGTTGCCGGAGAAGCCCGCCAAGGAGTACCCGTTTAAGCTGGACCCGTTTCAGGAAGAGGCCGTGCGGTGCTTGGAAGCCAACGAATCCGTTCTGGTGAGAAAATCGCGACAGCGACCCTAAACCAGAAACCCCGACTGGAATGTTAATGCTTAAACCCTGATCGAAACCCTAGTTAAAAACCCAGACCGGAAATATAGCCGAAACTGCTGTTTCAGAAACCCTAATCCCCGAGTGGAATCCTGAACACAAAACCCTGAGCACGTTATCTGCATTGGAGAAGCAAGGAAGCCGAGGGAGCATTCAGGGTTTAGAGCGGAACAAAGTACTGCTTGGCATGGCACAATATTACGTCCCCTTCCTCTTTATCCTTTCTTTTCCTCAACAACCCCTTCCCGTTCTCAGAGAGAGAGAGAGAGAGAAAGACTCTTCCACGTCCTTCCCTTTCTCTCCTCCCTTCCTCGCACACTCAGGTATCAGCACACACATCTGCTGGAAAAACCGTGGTAGCAGAGTACGCCATAGCCATGGCGATGCGGGACAACCAGCGGGTCGTGATGAGAGAGAGCCTTCACTTCCATCCCTTTCTCTCCCCCCCCACTCACCACAGGTGTCAGCGCACACATCAGCCGGAAAAACAGTGGTAGCGGAATACGCCATAGCCATGGCGATGCGGGACAACCAGCGGGTCGTGTACACGTCGCCCATCAAGGCGCTGAGCAACCAGAAGTTCCGGGAGATGAGTCAGGAGTTTGGGGACGTGGGGCTCATGACTGGGGATGTCACCATCGCCCCCAACGCCACCTGCCTGGTATGTGTGTATGTATGTGCATGTGTGTATGTATGTATGTATGTGTGTGTGTGTGTGTGTGTGTGTGTGTGTGTGTGTGTGTGTGTGTGTGTGTGTGTGTGTGTGTGTGTGTGTGTGTGTGTGTGAGCGCACGCGCGCGCATGCGTCCTTTGCACCGCTCTGCACCGCTCTGTACTGCCCCCAACACCCCCCTCCGTGTACCACCCTAGGTTATGACAACGGAGATTCTCCTCCTCACGCCTGTGCACTGCTCTGTGTTGCCCCCAATCCCAGGTCGTGTATTGCCCGCTCCTCCTTACCCACCTCCACTGCTCTGTATTGCCCCAAACTCCCCTAAACCCCCCGGTCATGACGACTGAGATTCTTCGCAGCATGCTGTATCGGGGATCCAATTTCGTGCGGGAGGTGGGGTGGATCATATTCGATGAGGTGCATTACCTGAGGGACAAGGGTCACCCCGTTATTCTCCTCTTTACCCATCCTCACCGCTCTGCACCGCTCTTTGTTGCCCCCAAACACCTCCCTATACAACCCCAGCTCATGACCACCGAAATTCTTCGTAGCATGCTGGATCGCGGGTCTGACTTCGTGCGGAAGGTTGGGTGGATCATATTCGACGAGGTGCATTACCTGAGGGACAAAACAAGGAACGTCCTTCCTTCCATCCACCCTCACCCCTCTGCACCGCTCTGTGTTGGCCCCAATCCCAGGTTATGACGACCGAAATTCTCCGCAGCATGCTGTATCGGGGATCCGATTTCGTGCGGGAGGTGGGGTGGATCATATTCGACGAGGTGCATTACCTGAGGGACAAGGAGCGAGGGGTGGTGTGGGAGGAGAGTATCGTCATGGCTCCCAAGTCGTCCCGCTTCGTCTTCCTCTCCGCTACCGTGCCCAATGCAAGGGAATTCGCTGAGTGGGTGGCAAAGGTACGTGACTAAGTGGGATGAAGTGACTGGTGCAGTGCGGTGTGGAGATGTGCCGAGTGGTCATGGCTTTCAACTTTTCAACTCACTGGAAGGAAGGAACTGGTGTGGAGTGGTGAAAGCTGGTAAATATTGGTGCCTTCTGTTTGCCCATGCCCCTTTCCATTCCTACTCACCAGGTGCACCAACAACCGTGCCACATCGTGTACACGGACTACCGCCCCACGCCCCTGCAGCACTACATCTTCCCCGCAGGCGGCATGGGCCTATTCCTAGCCGTCGACGAGAAGGGCAAGTTCCGCGAAGCTTCCTTCCAGAAGGCGATGAACGCAGTGGAAGGGGGAGAAGGGGGCGGCAAGGGGGAGGACGGGGAGGACGGGGAGGACGGGGGGAAGAAAGGGGGGAAGTGGGGGAAGGGGAAGCGGGGGGCGGGTGGGGGCGGTCCGGGGGGAGCCGGGGGAGGGGGAGGGGGGAAGAAGGGGGAGGAGAGTGATATATACAAGATTGTGAAGATGATAATGCAGAGGCAGTATGACCCAGTGATTGTGTTCTCGTTCAGTCGGGCGGACTGTGAGGCGCTGGCGCTGCAGATGTCACGCATGGACTTGAACGACGATGATGAGAAGACGCTGATCGATGGGATCTTTAGGAATGCGATTGACAGCCTGGCAGAAGAGGACAAGAAGCTGCCCCAGGTGGGTGGGTACCTGAGAGCGTGCCTCAAGGGACGTGAGCGGAGCACGCGCGGATTGTGAGGCGCTGGCGCTGCAAATGTCTCGGATGGACTTGAATGATGAGGATGAGAAGACGCTGATTGATGAGATCTTTAGGAATGCGATTGACAGCCTGGCAGAAGAAGACAAGAAACTCCCTCTGGTGGGTAAAGACTGTGAAGTGCGGCGTTGGAGCTGCTCTGCACATGCCTCATCTGAGGCGTTGGAGCTGCTCTGCACATGCCTCAGATGGACAGACCTGAGCAATGTGGGTCCCGCCCGCAGGCCTATTAGACCCGGAATGCCCCCACCCACTCCCAACCCTCCTCCCGGACCCCACCACACCCGAGCCCTCACACCCATTGCCTCACACTCACACTCACACTCACACTCACACTTCTTGAGGGGATCTTTACGAATGGCATTGCCACGCTCCATCCCTCCACTGTCCCCTCCCTCCCTCCCTCCAGGTGAACAGCATGCTGCCGCTGCTGCGGAGGGGCATTGGCATCTACCACTCGGGGCTGCTGCCGCATTTGACTCTCCATGACCCTCCACACACCACACACAACTGACCCCTCCTCCCCATGTTGCTCCACTCATCTCCGTCCCCCTCCCTCCCGCCAGGTGAACAGCATGCTGCCGCTGCTGCGGAGGGGCATTGGCATTCACCACTCGGGGCTGCTTCCGCTGCTGAAGGAAGTGATTGAAATCCTCTTTCAAGAGGGGCTGCTTAAGGTGGGTGCGGGCGGGCACCTGCAGGGAGAAATCATTTCTGTGTGTATGTAAGGGGGATAGGGGGGGGGGAAAGAAGGGGGGCATTGGAGCTCTCGCATTCATGTGTGCCGTTCCTGTGAACACTCGGGGCTGCTTCCGCTGCTGAAAGAAGTGATTGAGATCCTCTCTCAAGAGGGGCTGCTTAAGGTGCGCATGTGATGAATCGATTTTTTAGTCGACTCAAAACTCCGCTGCTGAAAGAAGTGATTGAGATTCTGTTCCAAGAGGGGCTGCTTAAGGTGGGTAAGGGGCAGTGGCAGGGTGTTGCTGTGTGTCTATGTATGTGTGCCTGTACGGCTCTAGTCCCGCGCATGAGGCGGTTTCTTGTCGACGGGGTGGGGGGATGGGGATGGGACGGGGCATGGGAGCTCTCTCATTCACCACTCAGGGTTGCTGCTGCCGCTGCTGAAAGTAAGGCTGTTCATTCCAGAAGGGATGCTCGAGGTGCGTAGGGACAGTGGCAGGATGTCACATGCCGGCCAAGACAGCAATGCCCCTCCGAATCCCTCGTACACGCCAAACCCCCTTCTCCTCACCGTGCTGCTGGTCCTCCTGTCCCTCCCGCCAGTGCCTGTTTGCCACGGAGACGTTCAGCATCGGGCTCAACATGCCGGCCAAGACGGTTGTCTTCACCAACGTGCGCAAGTGGGACGGCACCAAGTCACGGTGAGTGTGCGGTAACCAGTGTGCTTGGGGCTTAGACATACTCTTACAAGACTTGCTGCGGGTCAAACCCAGTCCTTTCCCTTAAGCATCGGGCTCAACATGCCGGCCAAGACGGTCGTCTTCACCAACGTGCGCAAGTGGGACGGCACCAAGTCACGGTGAGTGTTTTGTGTGCGTGTGCGTGCTTGCATTGGTGCGTGCGTGCGTGCATGCGTGCGTGCGTTTTATGTGCCTTGCTTCCCACGAAAAAGCATGTGGTCGAGCTCTCCCACCCCAAAATCGGTTGTCAGGAGGGAAACATATTCGGATGACAACCGAAATCGGTTGTCAGAAGTATATCCATGTTTTCCTCCCGCACCCGCATCCCCTCGTTTTCCCGTCCTTCCCCCCCCTACATGCTGGTGTGGTGGTTGTCCGGTGGGGACTGGGAGTATATCCAGATGAGTGGGCGCGGAGGCAGGCAAGGGCTGGATTGGAGTGATTATAGAATTGCCTCCACTGTATGTAACCTTTATTTCCTGTCCTCTGCTTCCCTTTCCGCCCTGGTTCCCATGCTCACCTTTGTGGATGGAGGTGGCTGTCAGGAGGGGAGTACTCTCAGATGAGTGGGCGCGTGGGCAGGCGAGGGCTGGGCAGATGAAACAGGTGTTACTCTGCCTTCCCTATTGCCCTCCATTTCTCCTTCGGTCCCTCCTCTCGCCCTCTTACATGCAGGTGGCTGTCAGGAGGCGAGTACATTCAAATGGTGGGCGCACGGGCAGGCAGGTTCCCAGCATTCGCGTTACCACTCATTACGCATCCGTTTTGCTGCGTTGCCCCCACTTTTGCCTCCCATCCCATCCTGCAGGTGGCTGTCAGGAGGCGAGTACATTCAGATGAGCGGGCGGGCAGGCAGGCGAGGCCTGGACGACCGGGGCATCTGCATTCTCATGGTTGACTCGCGCATGGAACCAGCCGTTGCCAAGGGGATGGTGAAAGGCTCGGCTGATCCTCTAGTCAGGTGAGTCATAGAGCATGTATCAGCAGCTTGTGTAAGGGTACTTCCATTCCAGTATAAAGCAGGCGAGGCCTGGACGACCGGGGTATCTGCATTCTGATGGTGGACTCGCGCATGGAACCAGCCGTTGCCAAGGGGATGGTCAAGGGCTCGGCAGACCCCCTTGTGAGGTGAGTGAGTTACAGTAGGAGCACAGCGGCAAGACGACCGGGGGATCTGCATTCTGATGGTGGACTCGCGCATGGAACCAGCCGTTGCCAAGGGGATGGTCAAGGGCTCGGCAGACCCCCTTGTGAGGTGAGTGAGTTACAGTAGGAGCACAGCGGCAAGACGACCGGGGGATCTGCATTCTGATGGTGGACTCGCGCATGGAACCAGCCGTTGCCAAGGGGATGGTCAAGGGCTCGGCAGACCCCCTTGTGAGGTGAGTGAGTTACAGTAGGAGCACAGCGGCAAGACGACCGGGGGATCTGCATTCTGATGGTGGACTCGCGCATGGAACCAGCCGTTGCCAAGGGGATGGTCAAGGGCTCGGCAGACCCCCTTGTGAGGTGAGTGAGTTACAGTAGGAGCACAGCGGCAAGACGACCGGGGGATCTGCATTCTGATGGTGGACTCGCGCATGGAACCAGCCGTTGCCAAGGGGATGGTCAAGGGCTCGGCAGACCCCCTTGTGAGGTGAGTGAGTTACAGTAGGAGCACAGCAGCAAGACGACCGGGGGATCTGCATTCTGATGGTGGACTCGCGCATGGAACCAGCCGTTGCCAAGGGGATGGTCAAGGGCTCTGCAGACCCCCTAGTGAGGTGCGTGTGAGGGGGATCGAATAAAAGCTTCTACTTTTATTCCATACAAGGCAGGCGAGGCCTGAACGACCGGAGCATCTGCATTCTGATGGTGGACTCGCGAATGGATGGAACCAGCCGTTGCCAAGGGGATGGTCAAGGGATCGGCTCTCTAGTGAGGTGCGTTATAGAACATGTATCAGCAGCTTGTGTAAGGGTATTTCCATTCCAGTGTAAAGCAGGCGAGGGCTGGACGACCGTGGCATCGGAATTCTGATGGTGGACTCGCGCATGGATGGAACCGGCCGTGGCCAAGGGGATGGTCAAGGGCTCTGCGGACCCGCTAGTGAGGTAAAGTGTGCTTCCTGTCTTATAAAGGCAGTCTACAACCCACCAGTGTACTACAGCGGCATCAGCATTCTGATGGTGGACTCGCGCATGGATGGAACCGGCCGTGGCCAAGGGGATGGTCAAGGGCTCTGCGGACCCGCTAGTGAGGTAAAGTGTGCTTCCTGTCTTATAAAGGCAGTCTACAACCCACCAGTGTACTACAGCGGCATCAGCATTCTGATGGTGGACTCGCGCATGGATGGAACCGGCCGTGGCCAAGGGGATGGTCAAGGGCTCTGCGGACCCGCTAGTGAGGTAATGTGTGCTTCCTGTCTTATAAAGGCAGTCTACAACCCACCAGTGTACTACAGCGGCATCAGCATTCTGATGGTGGACTCGCGCATGGATGGAACCGGCCGTGGCCAAGGGGATGGTCAAGGGCTCTGCGGACCCGCTAGTGAGGTAAAGTGTGCTTCCTGTCTTATAAAGGCAGTCTACAACCCACCAGTGTACTACAGCGGCATCAGCATTCTGATGGTGGACTCGCGCATGGATGGAACCGGCCGTGGCCAAGGGGATGGTCAAGGGCTCTGCGGACCCGCTAGTGAGGTAAAGTGTGCTTCCTGTCTTATAAAGGCAGTCTACAACCCACCAGTGTACTACAGCGGCATCAGCATTCTGATGGTGGACTCGCGCATGGATGGAACCGGCCGTGGCCAAGGGGATGGTCACGGGCTCGGCATGGCAGACCCCTTCGTGAGGTGCGGCGTGCTATATTAGGAGCATACCCGCAAGACGACCGCAGCATTTGCATTCTGAATGTACCCCCTTTTCTGACAGCTTGTGTGGTGGTCTCACACATGAGGCCAAGGCCTCCAGTGAGGAGTTTTGAGACGTCTCAAAACCAGCTTGTGTGGTGGTCTCACACATGAGGCCAAGGCCTCCAGTGAGGAGTTTTGAGACGTCTCAAAACCAGCTTGTGTGGTGGTCTCACACATGAGGCCAAGGCCTCCAGTGAGGAGTTTTGAGACGTCTCAAAACCAGCTTGTGTGGTGGTCTCACACATGAGGCCAAGGCCTCCAGTGAGGAGTTTTGAGACGTCTCAAAACCAGCTTGTGTGGTGGTCTCACACATGAGGCCAAGGCCTCCAGTGAGGAGTTTTGAGACGTCTCAAAACCAGCTTGTGTGGTGGTCTCACACATGAGGCCAAGGCCTCCAGTGAGGGCTCTGCAGGCAGGTGCAGTGCTTCGCTCAAGTCAGGAAAGCTAGAACCAATCTCTTTGCTATGAGGCACCCGCTTCACTGTTTCCTTTCCTCCTGCCTCCTGCTGTCTTACACCTTCCCTTCCCTTCCCCTTTTTCCCACTTTCTTGTCTTGCTCCTTGTGTCCAATCAGCGCGTTCCACCTGTCGTACAACTTCATTCTGAACCAGCTGAGGAGTCCAGAAGTGGAGATAGAGCAGACTATCAGAAGCTCCTACCGCCAGTTCCAATCAGACCGAGCATTACCAGCACTGCAGGTGCGTACATCAGAGAGAATCTTGGTTTCTTATCAAGGGTTCGGTTTGGAGATTCTTGAAAGTGCAAAAGTGAAAAAAGAGCAGTCAGATCGTACTATCAGTTCCGACCGCATAGAGCGCTCCCTGCTGATCAGACAGAATCCTGGCTTCAAAAACCCTGAGCTGAGATCCGCTCCTTCCTCACCACCCCGTCTTCAGCACGCTCTCCCCTTCCCGTTCCCCGTTGCCCGCCTTTTCACCCAACAGGCACCTTTGCAAGCACTCGAGGCCGAGCACTCAGCAATCAGCATCCCCGACGAGTCATCTCTCCTCGGCCTCTGTCGCCAACTCTCCGCCCTGAGAGCTCAAATCCGTTCCTTCCTCACCACCCCCTATTTACCACAGTCTGCCTTCCCACTTTTTCCGCCCTCCTCCCTTTGCCCCCCTTCGCAGGCGCGCCTACAAGCATTGGAAGCCGAGCACGCAGCAATCACCATCCCCGACGAGTCGTCCCTCCTCGCCCTCCTCTCCCTCCGCCGCCAACTCTCTGCTCTGAGGGCGGAGATCTGCTCCTTCCTCACTGCCCCCCCCCCCCCCGCCCTCCCCTTCCCGTTCCCCGTCGCCCCCTTTTCCGACCCACAGGCACGCTTACAAGCATTGGAAGCCGAGCACGCAGCAATCACCATCCCCGACGAGTCGTCTCTCCTCGCCCTCCTCTCCCTTCGCCGCCAACTCTCTGCTCTGAGGGCTGAAATTCGTTCCTTCCTCACCGCCCCCCGCCACGCCCTCCCCTTCCTCTCCCCTGGGAGGGTTGTGCGGATACTGTGCCTGGGGGGAGGGGGAGGGGCGGGGGGAGCGGAGGGGGAAGGGGAGGGGGAGGGGGGAGGGGAAGGGGGGGAGGCGGGGGGGATTGGGAACGAGGAGGATGTGACTGTATGGGGCGTGGTGGTGAATTTTAAGAAGGTGAACCGGAAGAGAGGAGTGGGCGGAGGGGAGCAGCAGGATGGTGAGTGCTGGGGAAGCAATTTCATCATCACTAACGGTCCCCTCATCACACCCACCCACCCCATCATGTCCAGACTTCGCATTTCTCAAGAAGCACACTGATGTATTCTCATTCAGATTGCAATTCAAGCATCTCAGCGATGTGCGCATGCTGGAGATTTTCATAAGTTCTGAGCAAAAGGACTTCGAAGGTGCTATTTGCTCGGCCGGCTCGGCCGCATCACCTTCGAAGTCCTTTTGCTCGGCTGCACACACGACCTTTTTTTGAGGCGACTCAAAACACGGCTCACCACCTTTGGAGTCCTCCACACACGACCTCCCCAGATCCTTTCCCAACAACACACCTCCCCTTTCCTTCTCCCTTTTCCTCCCCCTGTTGTTTTCTAGGAGCAGAGGGAGCAGAGGCAGCAGCTGACATGGCGTATGACGTGGACATTCTCACGCGGTGTGTGGAGGAAGGAATTGCAGGGCGCATGGGGCCACCTGGGGGGCCCAGGAAGGTGGTGCGGCCGTGCAGACCGGGGGAGGAGGGGGGCTCTCCTCTTGTTGCATCATTCCCCCTGACCCAGGTATGGCACCGCCGTCGTTGCTCCTCTTGTTGCTGCAATGGCTGTGCAAACATATTGCTCGTGTCGTGTAGTGTTCCGCCCTCCCCAACATATCTGAAACACAGCCAGGGGAAGCTGCCGGATATCCATCCCGCTCTTCCTTTCCCTGCTCTCTTTATCCCCGTTATACTCAACCCCTTTTTCAGCTGGATGGCATAAGCGCAGTGCACCTCTTTCTCCCAAAGGACCTGAAGCACAAGGAGCCAAGAGAGGCCGCCCTGAAGTCGCTGCAGCAGCTGCTGCTGAGAGCGGGGGCGGATGGCGTGCAGATGCTGGACCCTGAAGAGGATATGGAGGTATGCCTGTAAAGGGGATAATGTGTTCTTGCTTGTACTGTTGAGGGAGTGGATGGTGTGCAGATGCTGGATCCTGAAGAAGATATGGAGGTATGCTTGTAGAGAGTACGTAACAATGCTTGTTTGTAGAGAGTGTGTCAGGTTAACGCATCTGCTGCAAGCCGGGGCGGATGGTGTGCAGATGCTGGATCCTGAAGAAGACATGGAGGTATGCTTATAGAGGGTATAGTGTGTTCTTTCTTGTGCTGAGGTGCTCAATGGAAGGAGTGCTTATGCTGTTTTGAGATGGGTTTATGCTTGCACAGGGTATGTAGTGTGCTTGCTTGCTCTTCTGCCTCCCCTATGTATTAATACTCACATAAATCCAACTCTGTCTGCCCGCCTACCTGCCTGCCTCTCTGCCTCCCCTATGTATTATTGCTTGCACCAGGTCAACAGTTCAGCCTATCGCAAGGCAGTGAGGAGAGCTGAAGCGCTTGAAGCACTGATTGCCTCGCACGCTCTAGCCTCGGCGCCGGACCTGCAGGTTCGGGTCCGGGAGCTGGCTCGGAAGAGCAAGCTGAAGATTGCTCTCAAAGTGCTTAAAAAGGAGGTCAAGGCGGCGGGCGGGCTTATATTGAAGGACGAGCTGAAAGCGAGGATGAGGGTGCTGCGACGATTGGAGTGAGTATAACGAACGGAGGGAGGGATATTGGAGGGAGGGACTGCTGTTCCCCGCTAATACATTGATAGGACGAGATTGTGCGAGTCAAAGGCAGGGTAGCCTGTGAGATCTCTTCAGCCAACGAGCTGGTGGTCACTGAACTGCTCTTCCGTGCTGCCCTGACAGACCTCCCTCCCGAGACCGTGGCAGCATAGCCAATCACCCAACCATCTGGTGTTCTCTTCTTGTGTTCCTTGTTCCCAGCAGATACATTGATAGGATGAGATTGCGCGAGTCAAAGGAAGAGTGGCCTGTGAGATCTCCTCAGCGGACGAGCTAGTGGTCACAGAACTGCTCTTCAGTGCAGCCCTGGCTTTCCCTGTTTCCCTTCCCCGTGTCCTTGCAGGTACATCGATGAAGATGAGATTGTGCGAGTCAAGGGCAGGGTTGCCTGTGAGATCTCCTCAGCAGACGAGCTGGTGGTGACCGAATTGCTCTTCAGTGCAGCCCTGGCGGACCTGCCTCCCGAGACCGTGGCGGCGCTGCTGTCGTGCTGCGTGTGGCAGGAGAAGGGGGCCGGCGGGGCCAAGAGACCGAGAGAGAGCCTGCAGGGACCGCTGGCGCAGCTGAGGGAGATTGCCCGGCGGATAGCACGGGTGCAGGAGGAATGCAAGGTGAGGAATGGGCATGTGGCAACGAGGCTTGCTGTCGTGCTGCGTGTGGCAGGAGAAGGGCGCTGGCGGGGCGAAGAGTCCGAGGGAGAGCCTGCAAGGGCTGCTGACGCAGCTGAGGAAGATTGGTGCTGCATTCGCTGATGTGCCCAATGCCTACTCTGCAGATGCCCGCAATGCTCAATGATTTTCCCCCTTCAGATTGCGCTCAACGTGGAGACCTACGTGGCGCCCTTCCGCCCGGGCATTATGGAGTCGGTGTTTGGGTGGTGCCATGGATGGGGCTGCGTTCGCTGATGTGCTCAATGCCTCTTTCTGCTTGCGCTCCTCATCCTTCTACCACCAGATTGCTCTCGATGTGGAAACCTACGTGGCGTCCTTCCGACCAGACATCATGGAGGCGGTGTTTGGGTGGTGCCATGGCGCCGCGTTCGCTGATGTGCTGGCAGCAGCCGACACGTTTGAGGGGTCTCTGATCCGCGCTATGAGGCGACTGGAGGAGCTGCTGCAGGAGGTGAGAGTGGGAGACGGTGTCCTTGTAATTGGGTTATGTAACAAGGCACATAGAGGCAGCAGCCGACACGTTTGAGGGGTCTCTCATTCGCGCTATGAGGCGACTGGAGGAGCTGCTGCAGGAGGTGAGTGTGGGATTGTGTGCCTTTTGAATGATTGGGTTCAGTAACAAAGCACAAGAGAGGCAGCTGCTCACTCGTTTGAGGGGACGCAGATTCGTGTCATAAGGTGGCTGGAAGGGCTGCTGCAGGAGGTGAGAGTGGGAGAGTGGGAGAGTGTGAGTATGAGTGGGAGAGTTAACTAACAAGGCACAGAGAGACACGAGGCAACAGCTTTCAGGAGTTGCTGATCTGTCATGAGGCGGCGGCTGGAAGAGTTGCTGCAGGAGGTGAGTGCGGTGGGAGAGTGAGCTGTGAGTTGAGTAGTAGAACACATGCAGCGAATCAGTGTGCTGCATACAATTCCTTAACCTCCAGCATGTTCAAGCCGTCCTCATCATCCTCTGTGACGTTGTTTTGTCTTTGTTCATTTGTGTGCTCAGATAATTGTGGCGAGTAAGACTATCGGAGAAACAAGCCTTGCAGAAAAGATATCCGCAGCAAGTGAGAAGCTTAAGAGAGGCATTGTGTTTGCAGCATCTCTTTACCTATGAGTTATTATCACTTTGTGGTGCAATGAAGCTCGTGTGGCAATGACTATTAGCTAGGCCTTACTAGGCTTGATGCTTTTGAGATTGTTGCCATACCATCAACTATCACTACTGTCTCGTGTATGTTTCAAAATCGTTTAGCTGAAAAAGCTAGTTGTTTGCTATTATTGCAAGTGTAGGTACAGGTAAGTCCTTGTGTGTTTTGTGGCTCTTGAGACCTGTTGTGACGCGCTGTAATTGGCTGGACCAGCTCGATGTTGCACTTCATTGGCGAGCCCGTTTCAGCATTTTCCCGCCTTTCACTTCTCAACGTCGCTGTCATACACCATCGAATTTACCAGAGTGTACGGTTACGATTTCCCCACGGTATTCGTCCAAAGCGATGTACCCACTCACCAACATCTCTTTCCCACCCAGCCACACAGCCTGGAGAAACGATTGCGAATCATAATTCAAGGCGCCACGACAGCATGAAACAACAGCCACCAACTTCAAGGTCCCTTCCAATCTCTAGGGAGGCTCGAATTCAAGCAGCAGCCACTCACTCCCTAAAAAATCGAGGCGCGCTAGTTCATAAAAAAGTGGGGACAAACATTAGGTCGCCCCTTCGCCAGGCATCTCGTCCCAGCACATGCACCTTGGGACAGCCGAAATCCTTCCTGTCTTTCCAACCAGCCGAACGTTATACCAGTACATAAGCGACCAGTAAATAAGATCAAAGCTTGAGTTGAGACGAAGAAGCAGTTAGTGGTTTGTTCTCAATCTGTACATAGCTCTTTCGTTTGTGCCTTGTTCCTTGCCTTCAACTGAGATCATGGCTTCCGACAACAGCGCTGTCGCGAAGGACCTGACCGCCGGAACTCTCGCAGGAGTAGCTCAGCTTCTGGTCGGCCATCCCTTCGATACAATCAAGGTCAAGCTACAAGCACAGCCCAAGCCGGCTCCAGGCCAACCACCCATGTACTCAGGCGCCATGGACGCGGTCCGGAAAACTATAGCCGCTGAGGGCCCTAAAGGGCTCTACGCGGGAATCGGCCCTCCTCTCGCCACCGTCGCCGTTTTCAACGCCGTTCTTTTCACTGCCCGCGGGCAGATGGAGGCGATTTTGAAGAGCAGCCCGGACGAGAAGCTGTCGGTGGGGAAGCAGGTCATTGCCGGCGGAGGTGCCGGCCTGGCTGTGTCGTTCGTCGCGTGTCCAACGGAGCTTATCAAGTGTCGGCTGCAAGCTCAAAGCGCTCTCGCGGCCGCTCCTCTCCAGGTAATGCCACGATCATTCATGAAATTTCCGCTTTCTTCGCTCGTGAAGGCCGGCTTAAAGTCTATAGCTTCTAAGTCTTAATTGTGTATCACTATCACCATTCGGTGTGCTCTGAAAATTCCGCCTTCTGTTGTTTCTCAAACCATGGCAATGCTGAACCAGCGTTCCGTCGAGCTGTCCTCGTTATGCATCTGAAATCAATTTTCTCTCTGTCCCTCAGTCGTCCGGATAGTATCAGTCAACGGCATCAAGTATTCACCCGCCCTTTCATCATTTTCTTTTTTTCCATTTTGTTTAACAGGGAGCTGTTGCAGGCGTTGCTGCTGGTGGCGGGCCCACTGTCTCCATGAGCGTGCCGCGTTACGCGGGCCCGCTAGACGTGGCGCGCCACGTCATCCGGTCGGAGGGCGGCGCATTGGGGCTGTTTAAGGGCCTCACTCCCACGCTGATGCGGGAGGTGCCTGGAAATGCGGCTATGTTCGGAGCATACGAGGCGACAAAACAGGTGAGACGCTGTACGGGCCGTCAGGTGCTTATAGCGCGTACGTAGGGTATGATGTTGTCGCGTTGAGATTGTCGCAACCACAACACCAGCACTCGCAGAGGTTTGCCCGATTTTTTAGCGTCATTTCCAGGTCAACTCTTACCAAATTAAAGGCGACGTCAGGTTGCACAACTTCTGTACGCTCACTTTGGTCAACTTCGTTTCGTCACAGTGCAAGACGGTAAACCTTGAGAACCGCTTTTTACCATGTGAAACCGTTCTGAGCCACGATACAAGAACTGTAAATGTTCGAGAAATGTACAGCCTGAAGTCGCCCCAATATTATGAAAGTGCAAGAAATATATTTGAATCAAGGAGACCCAAGAGTACACAGGTACACCTAGTCACTTTTTCCGTGTACTGTTCTTGGAAGACATGAGTGGTAGATCTATGTTTCAAAACATTGTTTTCGCCATTCACCACTGCTCTTCCTTTCCCCTCCCCTCTCCCCTTTTATCTCTCCCCTTCTCCTGCTCCACGCCCACCCGTCTTTTGTTTCACACGCTTCTCACTAAGTCACAATACAAATTGCCTCGGATTTGCACCAACTCTCCTTCTCTTGTCCTTGTTTCTTCAGCTGATGGCAGGGGGAACTGACACCTCAGAGCTCAGCCGAGGAGCTCTGCTCGTTGCCGGTGGCGTGGGTGGCGCGTGCTTCTGGGCCTCAGTGTACCCGACTGACGTCATCAAGAGCATGATCCAAGTAGATGACTACAGGTGAGCAACGGCATGATGAAGTAGATTTTATTTCCGGCACAATTCTATTCCGGTTTCACCGCGTTGGGGACATGCGGCCAGGACTAGCCAGTCTAGTATGCAATTATGCACGTCCCTCGATTAGTCTGGTAGGATTGCATATCTATGACGACTCATCGCACCATTCGTGGTATAACATTTACCCCACCCATTGCATAGTATGGATTGACCCCACACCGAATGTCATTGATCACATATTGCATTGCATATCATGGACCACTCACTGCGTGTCTCTGCCCACACATTGCATTCAATTGACCGCCCATTGCATGCCATTGACAGCACATTGCATGTCATTGACAGCACATTGCATGTCATTGACAGCACATTGCATGTCATTCACAGCACATTGCATGTCATTCACAGCACATTGCATGTCATTCACAGCACATTGCATGTCATTGACAGCACATTGCATGTCATCGACAGCACATTGCATGTCATCGACAGCACATTGCATGTCATCGACAGCACATTGCATGTCATTGACAGCACATTGCATGTCATTGACAGCGCATTGCATGTCATTGACAGCGCATTGCATGTCACTGACCACTCACTGCGTACCATTGACCACTCACTGCGTACCATTGACCACTCACTGCGTACCATTGACCACTCACTGCGTACCATTGACCACTCACTGCGTACCATTGACTACTCACTGCATACCATTGAGCACACATTGCATGTCACTGACCCCACATGGATGTCACTGACGTCATTGCAGGATTAACTTATTCATTGCATTTGATGGCTGATTTCTTCCATGCGCTTGTGCAGAAACCCCAAGTACACTGGCACAGTACAGGCTTTCAAAAAGGTGTGGGCCACAGAGGGCGTCAAGGGCTTGTACAGAGGGTTCGGGCCTGCCATGGCTCGGAGTGTACCTGCAAATGCTGCGTGCTTTCTCGCTTACGAAATGGTTCGCGAAATGCTGGGATGAGTTGCGCAGGTTCATACCCACATTTTTTTGGCGTCTGTATCTGGCAAACAGCTTCTGACGTCTTTATGATGCTGCCCCCCTGGTGTGAATCTAAAGTGCTTCAAGCTCCTTGGTTCAGGGTTTGTGGTGTAAGGCATGGATACAGGGTTCAACCTGCTTGCATTGTGTATGTTATTAAATTCCATTATTTAGTCAGTTCACACCCTTCAGGTCCTTGTTCTTAGATATACCGTATGATTTGTGTAAGGAACTACGGTACAATTCTTTCTATAGCTGGTGCATTCTGGAAGGGTTTAGCTAATTCTACTTACATTTTCTCCCCGAACCACTTCCAAGCCTTGCCACCGCCCCTTTCGCCACCTTCATTTGCCTAGTAGTCTGTTCTGCTGTGCTGCATATTCCCAGCCTACCAGTAATTAGTGCATGTTCCTAACCTACGCCTCCAGACACACCTTTTGTCAGATTTGCTCGGTTCCATGCCTTGCAGTGCGGTTGAATGACTGCGTGTTACAGTGCAGTACATACTGAAACTCATATAATTGAACAAACTCGCTTCACCTACTGCATATTGAGATTTCATTGCCCAGCATTGCTAGGTGTACATTAATCTGTCCTCCAATCTCCCCTCCCGATCTCCTCCCTCCACCCTCATTCGGCTTACCGTTCGAGTGCAACTCATTATATCTATAAGTTGAATTTCACCTATGGACCAGTGACCATACCCTCCGACATTTGCCGTCTGAACAAGCCAAAGATTCCCATCGAGTACTATGTGCTACCACATTCCCAACGAGCACTTAGTAGCAGTACCCCCCTCAACCTAAATCGCTACAGGCTACAGAGCCTTAGTAAGCTGGCTGACCCCTGCCTTGCTCAACAATTTCATCATTGCTCCATCTGAAGGCTGCACTGCACTGCACTGCACCGCATCGCACCTGTCTTAAAACCCTCCTGCCCACCACCATGCCCACTTGCACAGTCCCAGTGCTGGTTCCGGATTGGGCCCCACCTTGTGAGTAAATCCCAAAGATTCACACATCAGCTGCACTTGGTCTCCCCTGAGCTCCCCTCTCCCTCTCCCCCCACTTTCTCCTGCTTAAATCCCTCCCTGCATCCACAGCCACTCCTTCACCATGCCTGGATTGTCCCTGGTGAACACGAGCCTGCTCGACCCCAAACTGCAATTCCTGCACCATGAACGATTTTGTGATATTTTTCTCTCACTGCGTCCATCGCCACACCTTGACCGTCCCTGCACTGTCGCCAGTAAACATGAGACCGCTGGGCCCCCCACACAGCGATCGCACATCCTGCACGTTAACATCTCCTGTACTTTGTCTCCCTCCTCCCCTTCATACTTCACTACTCTCACTGCGTCCACCGCCACACCTTGATGGTCCCTGCACTGTCCCCTGTGAACATGAGACCACTCGGCCCCACACACAGCAACCGCACCTCCTGCACCTTAACGTCTCCTGTACTCCATCTCCCTCCTCCATCCCCTCCCCCTTCAGCAGTTTACTTCTCTCACTGCTTCCATCGCCACACCTTGACGGTCCCTGCACTGTCCCCTGTGAACATGAGACCACTCGGCCCCACACACAGCAACCGCACCTCCTGCACCTTAACGTCTCCTGTACTCCATCTCCCTCCTCCATCCCCTCCCCCTTCAGCAATTTACTTCTCTCACTGCTTCCATCGCCACACCTTGACGGTGCCTGCACTGTCACCGGTGAACATGAGACCGCTGGGCCCCACACACAGCGATCGCACCTCCTGCACCGTGAACAACGCCCCCCGCTCTGTGAACCTGGTTGTTGTAATGACGTGGCATGGGGAAGCATGGTGTGACATGTGGCATTGGTGAGAAGTGATTCGAGATGGCATGAGGTGACGAGGGCGGCTCTTTGTGATTCCAAACAATTTTGAAACTCCTTGCGATTCCAAGGAACAAAAAAAAGGGGAAAAGAAGCACAACAATGCAATGGAATGTCAAATAAATACACATAAACAGAAACAAGAAAACGGAACGTACGATGGGAGGTCGTAGAGGCGAACAGAGTTGTCACTGTATGCCACCATGAGCACCTGATTGCCTGCCAGGTCCGTGCTCACTTTCATGGCCAGCGCTCCCTGTATCAGAGGGAGGGGGAAGAGCCGCGTGGAAGGAATAAGGGGGGAACAAAGGGTGACGAGGAGGAGGGTTGGTGGGGGAGTTATGCCACCATGAGCACCTGATTGCCTGCCAGGTCCGTGCTCACTTTCATGGCCAGCGCTCCCTGTATCAGAGGGAGGGGATGAAACAGGCAAGGGAACGGGGGAAAAAGAAGGGTGAAGGGGTGGGTGAGGATCGGTGGTAGGGGGTGCACCACTACACCATGAGCACCTGATTGCCTGCTAGATCTGTGCTCACTTTCATCGCCAGCGCTCCCTGCATGAGGGGGAAGGGGGAAGGCAGGGTGGAAGGAGGAAGGTGGAAGGGTGAAACACGAAGACGGGAGGAAAGAGGGGGACCTTATGCCACCATGAGCACCTGATTACCCGCTAATACGAGCTCTTATGGCCAATGCTCCCTGCATCAGATGGAGCGTGGATGGATGAAGGGGGTGAACAAAGGGTCACGGGAAGCGGGGTGGTTGGGGTTTATGCCACCATGAGCACTTGAGACTTGAGTACCCGCTAATACGTGATCTTATGGCCAAAGCTCCCTGCATTGCGAGAGGGGACGAAGAACGTAAGAAAAGGAAGAAAGGATAGGCAAGGACAGGGGACGAAGTGGGCTAGATACATGCTCGTACGCATGGCAGGGCTGGGAGGGGGCAAATTTCGGAATGTAAGAAGTGCAAAAAAGAAAGAAAGAAAGAAAGAAAAAAGCGCCTACATGTATACATCCTACACCTGGAGTTCTTACAGCTACCATATGTATTTGCTCCATCTAATGGCATGGAAAGCCAAGAAGGATCAACAAGTACATCAGGCTCTCTGTCGGTCTGCCCTCTGCCTCCCTTGAGTTCCAACTGTAAGATGGTATCTCCCTGTCCAGATGTCATGAGTACTAACTGAACGGCTAGAATGGCATCTTACAGTTTGGTACATCAAGGGAGGCATCTGTTGAGATGGTATCTCCCTGTCCAGATGTCATGAGTACTAACTGTTAAAATGGCATCCTACTGTCTAGGATACATCTACTGGCATGGAGAGCCAAGCCAAGGGGGATCGGGACGTACATCAGGCTCTCTGTCGGTCTGCCTGTTACCCCTCACCTCCCTTGAGTTCTAACAGCTAGAATGGCATCTTACAGTTTGGTACATCAAATGGCAAGAAGAGACAAGAGGATCGAGACGTACATCAGGTTCCGAATGTTACTTCTGAGAATTCTCAAAAGTAAAATCCACATGAATGGCATCTTACAATTTGGTACATCAAATGGCAAGAAGAGACAAGAGGATCGAGACGTACATCAGGCTCTCTGTCGGTCTGCCCGCTGCCTCCCTTATCGTCCGCATCTGTGTGAGTGAACGCCAGGTCGATGGCGCCCCCTCCTGCTGCTGACGGCGCCCACACCTGCAGGAAAGATGTGCGGGGTTTCAGGGTTTGCAGAGTAAAAACGTGTGTTAATGAATGCCCTTATTGTCCCCATCTGTGTGAGTGAACGCCAGGTCGATGGCGCCCCCTCCTGCTGCTGACGGCGCCCACACCTGCAGGAAAGATGTGCAGGGTTTCAGGGTTTGCAGAGTAAAAACGTGTGTTAATGAATGCCCTTATTGTCCCCATCTGTGTGAGTGAACGCCAGGTCGATGGCGCCCCCTCCTGCTGCTGACGGCGCCCACACCTGCAGGAAAGATGTGCAGGGTTTCAGGGTTTGCAGAGTAAAAACGTGTGTTAATGAATGCCCTTATTGTCCCCATCTGTGTGAGTGAACGCCAGGTCGATGGCGCCGCCCCCTCCTGCTGCTGACGGCGCCCACACCTGTCAACAGAATTGTAGGGTTTAACAGGGTGTTATGAAAAAACAACTGTGTGAATGAATGACAAATCGATGCCCCCTATTCCTGCTGGTGATTACGGCCATACCTGTCTGTCAGGGTATACGGGCGAACAATCGGGTATCCCCTCAACTCTCACAATCTCTACCCCTCTCCCTCCCCCCTCCCCTCTCAATCCTCGTCCCCCCCGTCACTTCCCAATCCGCACAGCCCACCTTCACAACCCATACAGCCCACCTTGACTGTCCCATCCAGCGAGCAGGAGAGCAAGTGAGTTTGCCAGGCCACCAGCGCCATCACCACGTGGTCGTGAGCCGGCACTATGTGCACACATGCCCCCGTGCTGAGATCCCATATCTAAAAAGTCGCAAGCGTGAGGGATAATGGGGAGGAGGGGGGGGGATGGGGGAGGGGGGATGGGGGGGGGGGGGGGGGGGGAACAACAGAACGGAAGTGAGAGCATTGTTTTTTTGTACCACTCTACACTCACTATACACTCAATATACATTCACTATAAACTCACTCTACAAACACCCTATACTCACTCTATACACCCACTCTGATGCCTCATTGTCCGCAGAGCACTCACTCTGATGCTCGTATCCATGGACCCAGAGAATAGAAGAGGTGCGTGGCAGTGGCTTCAAGGCGCACCACGCTCGAGTGTATCGTTGCCTATGTCCCACCCCCACACCCACCACCCCAACACAGCACTCACTCTCATGCTCGTATCCATGGACCCAGAGAAGAGAAGAGGTGCGTGGCAGTGGCTTCAAGGCGCACCACAGCGGCTGTGTGGCTTGTGCGTATCAGTGCGTGCCTCATGATCTAGATATTCCACTCACTCTGATGCTCGTATCCATGGACCCAGAGAATAGATGCGTGGCGGTGGCTTCAAGGCACATGACAGAAGCTGAGACGCGTGTGTGTGTGCCTCATGACCTAATCCCAATCTCTCCACACCCACTCGCTCCACACTCACTCCACACTCACTCCACACACTCACTCTGATGCTCTTATCCATGGACCCAGAGAAGAGAAGAGGTGCGTGGCAGTGGCTTCAAGGCGCACCACAGCGGCTGTGTGGCCTGTCAGTGTGCGCCTTGTAATCTGTAACCCACTCACTCCACACTCACTCCACACTCACTCCACACACTCACTCTGATGCTCTTATCCATGGACCCAGAGAAGAGAAGAGGTGCGTGGCAGTGGCTTCAAGGCGCACCACAGCGGCTGTGTGGCCTGTCAGTGTGCGCCTTGTAATCTGTAACCCACTCACTCCACACTCACTCCACACTCACTCCACACTCACTCTGATGCTCTTGTCCATGGACCCGGAAAAGAGGTGCGTGGCAGTGGCTTCAAGGCACACCACAGCAGCCCTGTGGCCCATCAGTGACGCCACGGGCTCGAACTGCTGGGAGGCCGGGTTGAACTTCCAACACAGGATCTTGCCATCCTGGGAAGGAGGGAAGAAAGTGAGGGGGAACACAGTGGCAACTTTCAAGGCACACGACAGCAGCCCTGTGGCCCATCAGTGACGCCACGGGCTCAAACTGCTGTGAGGCCGGGTTGAACTTCCAACACAGGATCTTGCCATCCTGGGAAGGAGGGAAGAAAGTGAGGGGGAACACAGTGGCAACTTTCAAGGCACACGACAGCAGCTGTGTGGCCTGTCAATGACGCCACGGGCTCGAACTGCTGGGAGGCCGGGTTGAACTTCCAACACAGGATCTTGCCATCCTGGAAGGAGATGTGAGGAGGGGAGGGACGGAAGTGGGGGATAAGAGGCAACAAATCAATCGAGGACAAGGCAAGGCCGGGCACACGACAAGGCAAGGCCGGGCACACCACAGCAGCTGTGTGCCCCATCAGTGACGCCACGGGCTCAAACTGCTGGGAGGCCGGGTTGAACTTCCAACACAGGATCTTGCCATCCTGAGGTATGTGTGAAAGGGAAGGAAGGGGCCACGAAATTGGGGGGGAAAAGACGGAAGTGGGGGATAGGCCATCCATCTATTGCAAGGCAACGCAGGCAGGAACAGTAAGGCAAGGCACACGACAGACGCTGTGTGGCCTGTGAGTGATGCCACGGGCTCAAACTGCTGTGAGGCCGGGTTGAGATTCCAACACAAGATCTTGCCGTCCTGAGGAATGTGTTGGGGGGCGGGAGGGACAACCAAGGGATGGAAACAGGGGGGGTGGAAGGGAGAAAACAGGGATGGATGGGGGAAAAGAAGCCACAGAGAATGCTGCTGACTCAAACTGCTGTGAGGCCGGGTTGAACTTTCAACACAGGATCTTGTCGTCCTGAGAAATGTGGGGGGAGTGGGGAGGGGGGAACGAAACATGTAATGTTACTGCATGCAATGCCACACCCAATGCAATGCCACCGCATCCCACCCCACTGTACCACAATCCATCCACCCAAACCCATCCTATCCCATCCCACACCACCCCACCCCATCCCACCGTTCACACTGCAGGTGGCAAAGAGCATGCTGTTGTGCAACAGCAGTTACTGCACCAATCCTGTAGGACCATACCCCATGGCATACCACCCCACACCACCGCATTCCACGCCCCTCCACCCCATCCCACCGCTTACAGAGCAGGCGGCAAAGAGCATGCCGTTGTGCAACAACAGCTGGTGCACCGACCCTGTGGGGCCCGGCAAGTCGCCCTGCACCCCACTCGCCAGCACCCACGTCTGCAGCAGACAGGCACAGCAGGGGAATGGGGGGATGGAAACGCAAGGCACGGATAAGGACAATCATTCATGCTCTCTGCACTCCGTTCGGTCCCACCGACCCTGTGGGGCCCGGCAAGTCGCCCTGCACGCCACTCGCCAGCACCCACGTCTGCAGCACAGGGAATCGGGTTTGGGATTTCGCGGGTTATGTCTTATCAGATGAGAAATTGATGAGCCACGTGGAATTAGAGTGTTTTCGAGACGTCTCAAAAGCACCCACGTCTGCAGCACAGGGATTGGGATTTGGGAATTCACGGGATATGACTTGTCAGCTGAGAAACTGATGGCACAGCTATTAAATAGCATGACATGGCATGGTATGCCCCGCAATTCAGTAGCATGACACGGCGTGGTATGGCACGGCATAGTAGGGCACGGCATGGTTTTGCCTAGCATAGAATAGAATAGCATGACATGGTATAGCGGCATGGCAGCAGCACCTTGTCTTGACAAGGTCGGCATGGCATGGAGCGGCATGGAATCGCATGGTGTGGAATCGCATGGCTTGGCATCACATGATATGGTACGCATGGAATGGCGTGGCAGGGCATGGCATGGCATGGCATGGCATGGCATGGCATGGCATGGTATGGCATAACATAAGCACAGCATAGCACAACAAGGGCACCTTGACAAGGTTGGGCAGGCCGACAAAGAGCCATCCAGAGTTGGTGATCAGTGCTCGCACGTCCCCTCCCATGCTCGCCACACTCACGCACTGACGGGTGAATTGGGAAGGGTATGAAAGGGCACGAAGTTAGAGGGGTACAGTGCGGTGCAAGTGAGAAAAAGAGCCACCCAGAGTTGGTAATGACTGCTCCCACATCCCCTCCCATGCTCGCCACACTCACGCACTGACGGAAAAAATGGGAGGGGGAAAAGCGGTAGGGGGAGTGGGAAGCGAAGAGAGGCTACAGTGCGGTGCAGTGGGAAAAAAAAGAGCCACCACTCGACACGGGAACCGAATAAACCATGGGAGACATAGTAAGGAGGCACGATCACTAACCCCCAGGCACGTATCACAGAACCACACGCTTGATTGCTGTTGGCTTTTGAGTCGACTGAGAAGTCACCTCGGAAAGACACAGTCAGGAGGCACGATCGCTAACCCCCAGGCACGTATTGCAGAACCACACTCTTGATTGCTGCTGCAGCCCCACACTACGTGGCCTGTGCTGCACTGAGAGCCACACCAAACCGCACCTGGCCGCACCTAACCGCACCTGGCCGCACCTGGCCGCACCTGGCCGCACCTGGCCATACCTGGCCAGCACGATACACGCTATGAAGTCACACTCACATCCATCCATCCCAATTCCCAACAGCCCCGTGGTGCAGAACCACACTCTAAAGGTCCTGTCCTGACCGCCCTTGACCGCCTTGACTGGCATTGACTGCCCTTAACCGGCATTGACCGCCTTTGACCCTCCAGCACAGCAACAGCACCCTACCTGCCCCGAAGTGCAGTCCCACACGCGGATGGTCCCGTCCTGACTGCCCGTGTACAGCTGAGAGGAGCTCTCCGGTAGAGCTATGGCGCGCACCACCTGGAGCGGGAGGGGAGAAGAAATTGCAAAAGGTAAATGGTCTAGTGCTCAATGGCTGACTGGCTGCCTGTGTGTGTACAGCTGAGAGGAGCTCTCCGGTAGAGCTATGGCCCGCACCACCTGCGGGGGATGGAAGAGAGGAGGGAATAGAAAGCGCAAGATGTGAAGGGTTTGGTACTCATTGACTCGTTGACTGCCGTGTACTCCTTGATAGAGCTGTGGCCCGCACGCACCACCTGAAGGGGTGGAGGAAAGATGGAGGAATGAAGGGCGAGGAGGCAGCAAGAGCAAAGGAAAATTGTGGAATGCAGAAGGTCTTGCCCTGACGGACTGCATGAGTTATGGAGTGCATGACTTATGGAGTGCATGAGTTATGGAGTGCATGACTTATGGAGTGCATGACTTATGGAGTGCATGACTTATGGAGTGCATGACTTATGGAGTGCATGACTTATGGAGTGCATGACTTATGGAGTGCATGACTTATGGAGTGCATGACTTATGGACTGCATGACTTATGGAGTGCATGACTTATGGAGTGCATGACTTATGGAGTGCATGACTTATGGAGTGCATGACTTATGGAGTGCATGACTTATGGACTGCATGACTTATGGAGTGCATGACTTATGGACTGCATGACTTATGGAGTGCATGACTTATGGACTGCATGACTTATGGACTGCATGACTTATGGAGTGCATGACTTATGGAGTGCATGACTTATGGAGTGCATGACTTATGGACTGCATGACTTATGGAGTGCATGACTTATGGACCGCATGACTTCTGGACTGCGTGAGTACAGCTGAGAGGAGCTCTCTGGTTGAGCTATGGCTCGCATCACCTTGGGGGGGGTGGAAGAGAGTGGAAAGCGGGACAGAGAGCAAATAGAATTGCGAATCTAGAAGGTCTCGCCTCAACCGTGACTGAATGATGGCCGGTGGACAGAAGGTGTTTTTTGAGAATTCAGGCTGAATGTGTTATTTGAGAATTCTAAAAAAGCACATTTCGCCTCAACTGTGAATGACTGATGGCTGGTGGACTAAAGGTCTCTCCGATCCGATAGAGCTATGGCTCGCATATGTGGGGAGATGCGGGTGAGGGGAGATGATGGAATAGGAGAGAGGGAGTAGGTAGGTAGTGATGCCAGAGAGAGAGATAGTTAAGGTAAGCAACCAGTGTAGAATCCCCCCTTGTCTCACACAGACAAGCACGCGCACACACGCACACGCACACGCACACGCACAGCCTCCCCCTCTCCCCCACGCACACACCTTCTCATGCCCCGTCAGCTCTGTCATCATCTCCACGTCAGCAGCCGTCGTGTGGGCGTGGAGGAACGTGCAGTTATGGCGGTTGCAGCTTCCGCCCAGCCAGAACTTGCACGCCTTCCGCCTCGCAATGCGCCTCTCCCCCCCTCCGCCTCCGCCTCCCCCTCCCCCTCCGCCTCCGCCGTCGCCAAGCCGCGCTCTCACGCCCTCCCCGCTTCTTCCGCCTACTCTTTGCCTCCCCCACCGCTCCCCGCCAAACCCTCCGCTATCCCCCTGACTGTCCGCATTCCGCCTGCCCAAAACCGTCCCCCCTCCCCCGTCTCCGCCTCCTCCCCCTCCCCCCCACCCCTGTCCCCCCCAGCCAGCCCCACCCCCCCTGTTTCCGCCTCCGCCTCTTCCCCCTCCGCCGCTAAATCCCCGGCCACCCCCGCCGAACCCGCCACCCCCGCCAGATGAATCAGTATGTAAGTAGTCGCAACTATCACCTTTTCTACAGTTACCCTCAAGCCAGAATCTGCACACGCCTCTTCCCCTTCCGCCTCCGCCTCTTCCCCCTCTTCCGCCGTAGCCCCCCCGACCTCCTCCCCCGCGGCTTCCCCTTCCCCCTCCGCTGATCATTCCGTCTAGATCCATGGTCGAAATCCGCGCTGTGACTTCCGCTTATCAAAACATGAAGAATCACTTATCAATAGTAAAGATTCGAGCATGTGGCTAGAACAGAGGCAAAGTTGCGCCTTGTGTCAGCGTCGATTTACAAAAGACAGTGCGACCTGGAGGCGAATAGTCAACTAAGCGATTGGCGACGAAACGGCGGCGACGAAAGCGTGTTACATAAAAGGTGGTTCAGTTCGCTCGGAAATCGCACAGACTTCGGTGTATGCGAGTCACCATGACTGCGAATTCGTCAAACACGATAGCGATCGTACAGATCAGCACCGGAATTATACAGCACCGAGAACAGCTGGCACCGTGCACACCGAAAAGTAGCAGCTACGCGAGATTGCGACCTAGAATGCAGGCACAAGAGCTTTCATCAACGCTACACGTGGAGGCGCGGAACAGAGCGACCGCACGCGACCTAAACCCTGGTCTGGCCGTCCGATCTTGCTTGACGATTTCTGGGAAAGTAGCTCTGGACCGTAGATTCCGATACAGAAGCAGCGCGGCAGAATCTAGGGGGTAAGGGAACTTGTGTAATACCAAGGGTGACTCAAAGCTGGAAATATGTGATGCAAACGAGGGAGGAATTGTCTACACGGAATTCGAATAAAGCACCTTCGGTACAATAAATTCGTCACTGGACAACTCATTATTGTATGAGAGTGAAGATGTACATGTGTAGCTTTTCTGCTGTTAGATACAAATCATGTGTTAGAAAAACACGTGCACATGTGTAAGCTTTCCACTAGTTAACTAGCAAACACGTCCTAGCTCTCAAAGGGCGTTATAAGCTCCGCCTGGTCTGTTTCCGGGCATATCATCCCATCGTTACAGCTATTTAAGAACAGCCAATCCCGTAGCCGCACAATATCCCCTGTAAAGGTCGACCCGTACGTACCAAAAAACACATTCGACATCACACAAATCGCCTTCTCCACATACGAAATCACCACACTGTCGTTATGCGCCCCAGCCTGCACCAGAGGCTCGGCCCAAGGCTGCATCTCCAAGCTCTTAATCGACATCCGAACCACTGGAACAGGCTCGGAAGAAAACAGGCCCAAGCGCCCCCCACGCACCCGAACCACACTCCCCACACGTCCATCCTCCGTCGTCCCATTTACGACGTATTTCCGCGGTCTCGCCCGTTCAAACGCGAGAAACTCCCGGAACATTCTCACCTCATCATCATCCCCATTAGTCGAGAGGTAAATCGCCCGCACGCCCGGATTCTCGTCCAATCGCCGCGCCACGCAGGCCGCCAGCTGGCGGATCGGGTGGTAGCAGGCGAACTTGGAATGCCCCTTCATGTTGACGCAATGCTGGTAGAAATCGCCTCGTCTCATGTGCAATGCCATGAACCCACCACCCCCGGTTCCACCAGCACCACCATCACCAGCAGCCCGAACACCCCCACCAGCAGCATCACCACCTGCATTGCTACTATCACTGCTGCTGGTGCTGCTGCCGAGGTAGGAGTTGATAAACCCAGCAGCGGCCTGGCGAACCATGGGTGAGGGCATGATGTAGTATTTGCATCCGGGCAGCACCACGAGCGGGCGGGCATGGTGAAAACGTAAATCCTGCCCGCTCACGCCAAACATGTTCCCAAAGGCGATGACGGAATCGTCGTAGTTAAAGAGGGACATAAACTCTTTGGAGGGGTATTTAAACCAGGGGCTTGGCGTACGTTTTTCCGGGATGACCGTTTTAGCAAAGTGGATGTGCAACTGCTGGTACCTGGAGGGGTGAGGGGAAGCGGGGGTGGGGGTGGGGAAAGGGGGGAGAGTTATGGTAGGTGAAGAGGGGGATGAGCTCCTTGGAGGGGTATTTGAACCAGGGGCTTGGCGTGCGCTTCTCTGGGATGACTGTTTTAGCAAAGTGGATGTGCAGTTGCTAGCTGGAGAAGGGGAGGAGGGGGCGGGTGAGGTAGAGGGGCGGGCATTGGGAAAGGATGGGCTGAGACAATACATGATATGTACGAGTGAGTGAGTAGATAGGTGGGTTGGTTGGTGAGAGCGCAGGTCCTGCCCACCCACGCGGAACATGCTCCTAACGGAGATGACGGGCGGACTCATTGTAGAGGATGTGCATGTGCATGTGCATGTGCATGTGCATGTGCATGTGTGTCTTACTGTTGTCGAATATACCTGCACTACACTCCCATTCTGTCTGGTAGTGGTGCACGTAGTAGTGTGAACACACTCCCCACCATCCCCTCTTGCATTATGGCACATATGTGCATGTGCATGTCCATGGGCATGTACATACATGTGTTCCTCACCGTTCTCTAATGTAATCACACTCTTGCTGTGTCTGATAATGGTGCACGTGGCATATAAACACATCCACCACCATTCCCTCTGGCATGTGTGTGCATGTGGATATCTCACCGTTGCCTGATGTACCCGCACTCTATCTCTGTCTGGTAGTGGTGCACGTGGCATATGAACACATCCACCATCATCACCTCTAGCATGCCCGTGTGCACGCAGCATGCATGTGTGTGCATGAGCATCTCTTACTCACCGTTGTCGGATGTAACCACACTCCCTCTCCGTCTGGTAATGGTGCACGTGGCATATGAACACGTCCACCACCATCACAGGTGCGCTCTTTCTCCTCTTGGGGTTCTGCCATGCAACAGAGCACAAGGAGTGAAGGTAAGTTCCGTGTGTTTTTCTGCATATCCACCAACCAATTCTCTTAGTCATAGTCTTAGTCACAGTCTTAGGCAAGGATTGGTGTAGTCATAGTCATAGTCATAGTCATAGCCATAGTCCATACATTAACCCTGAGTACCGCTTTTCAATCTGAGGCGCTTCTCTTACAGGGCTCTGATAAGCAACTCACAGGTCACCAACCGTTGCACACACCATCCCGCCGCTCCTGACCGTGGTACACCACCCCACCTCTCTCAACCTCTGCACACCATCCCAAAATCCCGCCTCTCCCAAGCCTGGATAGCCTCCCCACCGCTCCCAACCCTGGCAAACCCTACCAACAAATACCCACCTTGGCCTCTTGAATAGCGGCGTATTCGTCAAGAGTGAGGAACGTCTGGTTACCAAAGCACCGCCTGGGCGCCTCCATATCTAACAGCCGCTCGTAGTCATAGTCCACCCCGGGCCCGTGTGGTAGGAACACCACCCTACCACTCACCAGCACCGCCCCCCACCTCCTCTTGCAATCTCCCCCAAGAGACCTCAGAAAACTTATGCAAACCGTCCAACCGCTCCCAGACCTGGCACGCCTTCGCACCGCTCTACCTTGGCGCACACTCCCCCATATCTACCAACCTTGGCCTCTTGGATAGCGGCGCATTCGTCGAGAGTGAGAAACGTCTGGTTGCCAAAGCAGCGTCTGGGCGGCTCCATATCCAACAGCCGCTCATAGTCATAGTCCACTCCGGGCCCGTGCAGTAAAATGGGAACACTTCTACACACCTTCCCACCGCTCCCAACCCTGGGCCACAAGTACCCATACCTTGGCCTCTTGAATGGCGGCGTATTCATCAAGCGTCAGAAAAGTCTGGTTACCAAAGCACCGCCTGGACGCCTCCATATCCAACAGCCGCTCGTAGTCATAGTCCACTCCGGGCCCGTGTGATGGGAACACCACCCTGCTACTCACCACCACCTCAGCTGCTGTCCGGAAAGCCTCTGGACACCTTCCCACCGCTCCCAACCCTGGCACACTCTCCCAAAGGTACCCACCTTTGCTTCCTGAATGGCAGCGTATTCATCCAGCGTCAGGAACGTCTGGTTGCCAAAGCAGCGTCTGGGCGCCTCCATATCCAACAGCCGCTCGTAGTCATAGTCCACTCCGGGCCCGTGCGATGGGAACACCAGCGTGCGATTCAGCAGCGCCGCGTCTAGAAAATGCTGCCTTAGGCACGAAATGCGGTTGCTTAATTGCCCCCCGGAGCACATAGCTAGAAGGTATTTCCGCGGGCGTTCCTCCCCCTCCGCCTCCCCCCCGTCTACCCGCCAGACTACCTTCCCCCCCGATCTGCCCAGGTCTTTTTGTCGTTTGCAGGGTTTTGGCGGAGGGGGGATGGGATCCGGGAGTTCCCCCCATGCCTCCCCCTCCGCGCCTCTTCCTGCTTCCGCTTGTCCGCTTCCCCCTTGGCTTCCGCCTGCTCCTGCTCCTCCCGCTCCCGATCCCCCTTCCCTTTCCGCCGTCTGCTGCTGCTTTATATCGAGCTGTGCTTGTAGGACAGCTTTAATCGTTTCCGGAGGTATTTTCCCCAGCGCCGCGATCACTTGATCGATCTTAGACAGCTGCTGCTCTCTGTTGAGCAACTTAATTCCCAGATTAACTAGCACCGCCTCGTGCGACTCGATGCGCTGCGACACGTTCTCCGCCACTTTGCGAACTAATTCCTCTAAAGCGGCCGCGGAGAGCGACGCGGTCGTGGGGTTATAGGATAGCGACCGGAGATTAGATACGTCCTGAGCCTGCTCCTGCGATTCAATGATTAGGTGGCGTCGGAACGCGGAAGCGGCGGCGGCGGCCGCGGCAGCATCGCCTAGTCTTTGCCTGTTCAGCGACCCTCCTTTCCCGCCAATCGCGGCGCCGGATGCGCTTTTCTGATCGGGGAAGACTATAGCGGAGGTATTCGACCAGTGCCATAGTAAGACCCCTTGAAACGCGCAGATGATTAATATCGCGAGCCACCATCGCCCGGGCCGCGCGTACGCCCACAAGGAGTTAAACAGCCCGCCGCCAAATCCGCCGTTAGACCCGCCGTGTCTTCCGGTGGTTAGAATCACGTTGCTGGGGCTGGAGGTGCTGAATGGACTGCCGGCGCCGGCGGGGGGGGAGGATCCTAGCCATGGCGGCCGCATTGTGCGGCAAATGCTCGTGCTCTAGTCAGTAATGCCGTCAGGGGTACGGATATACGTGCTGGATTAAAAGAGGAAGAAGAAGAAAATACTAACGAATTGACCTTTGAAGCACACTGGTCGAGTCTGTCAATTCTCAGAGCTGATTACTCCGCGAAGCACGTTTCTCTCGGAGCGACGGGTGCGGGAAAACGAAACCTGCATTTATGAACCAGAACCGGGAATCTTCAAACCAGAACCAGCGATACCAAGTCGGAGGATGGGAGAGGGTCAGTGCTAGCTGTTGCCACACGTTGAGTATGTGGGATCGCCATACTCTAGCACCCGAGTAATAAGACAGGTTCCTAATTAGGTGGAAGTAGTTAGGTAGTAGAGTAAGGTGCCTGTGATCAGTCTGGCGAAAGTGAATGCTCTGGAGTGCAGTGCAGACCAGGTCAATGGCGACGAAGAGTTTACTTGGTGCGGTTCAAACGACTTGTCTGCGTTTCAAAACGGTTGTCTTGAAGCAAGGAGCGGTTTGGTTTGGTTTTGAACGAACATCACCGCTTAGGTTTGGCGGGGTTAGATAAAGCAGGCCTAGTCAAAAGGTGAGGGACGGGAGATGGTTGTTGAAATTCGCTGTGGCAAGTTCGATATGTTCAACACTGACTCCATTATCGTTACTTACCGTGACTTTGTTAAATATGAAAAACTATGGATCAGATCTGATATGTAAGGCCACTGCTATTGCACCCAACTACTGTACTCAGCATTGGACCAGAGTTTTGTGACACTGAAATTTTCATTTAACAAGTAGAAAAAAACATAGATTCTTTACGCCTACCATATGCCACTTACAGAAACTAACGATTGATTCAATGCCTATGCCAACGTACAGTCACAATAATACCACAAATCGGTAACGACCTGGGGAAACAGGTAATGTCAATGTTAGGCCAGTATTAAAGTCTCAACAGATGGTTAAAGCGACGGTGCACATTTGCCACCCAAAACCCAGAACCCTGGCGAACTGTTACTGCGGATGGAAAGTGTCCGCACGAAATCCTGGTTTTCGCCAGCCAGCACTTTCGCGCTGGCAAGCCTGGTTCAAAAAAAAAACTTCTGAACCCAACACTGCCAAAAGTTGCCCGTCGCTTTAAGCGACCGGCAGTCGAGGCATGTGCACTTACAGCATTGGCCTTAGCCCTCCAGAGCCGCAGCACCAGAAATAATCTCGATAAGCTCCGTGGTGATGGTGGCCTGGCGAGACCTGCACGCGGAGAGTCGGGAAGGGAGTGGGGGGGAGGAGGAGAGTAAATCCACATGCATTTAAAGCAAATGCAATTACACAATGGCCCTAGCCCTCCAGAGCCGCAACAATCTCGATAAGTTCCGTGGTGATGGTGGCCTGGCGAGACCTGCACATCGAGAGAGGTGAAGATACAAACCCACTAGGCAAAACCTACATCACATACGGTAGGCACAAGGGACACTTAGAAGCGCAGGAATCACCTGTTTGCACCTATCTGAATGGAATGCATTAACCCTAAGCATGAATGTAACGCACCTGTTGTAGGAGAGAGTGAGGCGGCCAAGCATGTCGGAGGCGTTGCGGGAGGAGTTGTCCATTGCTGACATGCGCGCTCCCTGCTCACTGCACGCGTTCTCCAGCTGCGCATTGTAGAGCGTCTGGTGGGGAGGGGGATCAAGTGTGAAAAGGGAACAAGGAGAGAGGGAATGAGTGAGGAGGAAGGGAGGAATTGTCCATTGCAGACGTGCGCGCTCACTGCTCACTGCACACATTCTCCAGCTGCGCGTTGTAGAGCGTCTGGGGGAGCGAGGGGCAGAGAGGGGTGCAGAGGGAGGCACAGCAGAGGGAGGCACAGCAGAGGGAGGCACAACAGAGGGAGGTACAGCAGAGGGAGGCACAGCAGAGGGAGGCACAGCAGAGGGAGGCACAGAGGAGGGTCAACTGAAATGGGAGGCCAGCAAATCCCTAACGTTCAGCCTGCCCAGCACGCTAGCCAACACCAGCTGAAAGTCTGAGGGGTTCTGGGCAGGGCTCCTCCCGGCCCTCCATGCTGTTGGAACTTCAATCCAGCCAACCCCATATGTGCCAACTCCTGGCCCTAGATACCACCGTACAAGCCCCATCCACCCACCCATCATCCACTCACCGACGACAGCTGGAACTCGGAGAGGTTCTGGAAGAGCTCTTCCTGCCCCTCCTGCTGTTGGAGCCCCTCCATGCTTTTTGAGTCGACTCAAAAGTCTGCCCCTCCTGCTGTTGGAGCCCCTCCATGCTTTTTGAGTCGACTCAAAAGTCTGCCCCTCCTGCTGTTGGAGCCCCTCCACGCTGTTGGAGCCCCTCCACGCTGTTGGAGCCCCTCCACGCTGTTGGAGCCCCTCCACGCTGTTGGAGCCCCTCCACGCTGTTGGAGCCCCTCCACGCTGTTGGAGCCCCTCCACGCTGTTGGAGCACCTCCACGCTGTTGGAGCCCCTCCATGCCACATGCAAGCCCTCTCTCTTCCGGCACACCGCGAACACTCATCTCTCCTTCCATCCACCCCACTCACCGACGCGAGCTGGAACTCGGAGAGGTTCTGGAAGAGCTCCTCCTGGCCCTTCACAATGTTTGAGCCAACTCCATATACGCCTACTTCTAGCCGGGGATGTCACCACCATATTCACCCCTCTCCCTCCACCCCCTCACCCCACTCACCGACGCGAGCTGGAACTCGGAGAGGTTCTGGAAGAGCTCCTCCTGGCCCTTCACAATGTTTGAGCCAACTCCATATACGCCTACTTCTAGCCGGGGATGTCACCACCATATTTACCCCTCTCCCTCCACCCCCTCACCCCACTCACCGACGCAAGCTGGAACTCGGAGAGGTTCTGAAACAGCTCCTCCTGGCCCTCCATGCTATCAAAGCCCCCACAGGCATGCTCTACTCTCCCTCATGGCACACCCCTCCACCACACTCCACCACCCTCCACCACACTCCACCCATCCACACTCACCGACGCGAGCTGGAACTCGGAGAGGTTCTGGAAGAGCTCCTCCTGGCCCTCCTCGCCCTCGATCTCGTACTCTGCCAGCTGGCTCGCACTGCCGCCCTCCGCTGCCTCCTTGAGGAGAGTCTGGTGGGGGGTGGAAGCGTGGTATGGGGGTGAAAGGATGACAGAAAAGGTGTGTGACAAGCCCACACATGCCCCTCCTTGGTCACTATCTCGTACTCTGCCAGCTAGCTCGCACTGCCGCCCTCCGCTGCCTCCTTGAGGAGAGTCTGGCAGAGGTTATGGGAGAAAGACAAAATGAGTAAGCAAGCACATGAGAGTGCGTTTTATAAGCCTCACACTGCCCCTCCTCGCCCTCGATCTCATACTCTGCCAGCTGGCTCGCACTGCCACCCTCCGCTGCCTCCTTGAGAAGGGCCTGGTGGGAGGAATGGGTGGGAGAATGGTGGACGGAAAGATGAAGGGTGGAAAGCACTCGCCTCCTCCTCCTCCTGCCCCTCCTCGCCCTCGATCTCGTACTCTGCAAGACGGCTCGCACTGCCGTCCTCCGCTGCCTCCTTTAGCAGAGTCTGGTGGGGGGGATGGAAGCATGGAGGAAAGCACGTATGGGTCTAGGGCAGGGGGGGAAAGAATAACGGACGCAGAAAGCACGCGCGCACGGAGAGAGTACGGCGGCGGTGATGGTGGGCCCAAAAGACTTTTGAGGCGCCTCAAAAGTCGTCTCATTGCCCGCAATTTGATAATGACAGACGCGGAAAGAACACGGGCACGGAGAGAGCACGGCGGCGGTGATGGTGGGCCCAAAAGCCACACTGAGTGGAAGCGAATGCGGATAATGACGTGGCCGCACCACACCTCCCCACACCCCACTGCACCTTCGTACATCCCATACCACACCACACCACACCACACCACACCACACCACAACACACCACACACCTCTCCACACCACAATAAATCCCACGACAACTCACCTTGGGCGATAGCACGATGGAGACGGCGGGAACAAAATCCATGACGGAGTTGAAGCGATTGTAGATGATACGGTGGGTGAGCGCACCACACATCGCCACACCTCACCACACCTCACCACACCCCACCACACCTCAGGTGAGAGCACGGTGGAAACAATTGGCACAAAGGCCACCGCAACAGATTTGAAGCGGTTGTAGATAATGCGGCAGGCCCACCACACCTCCTAACACCGCACTGCATCTCCCCAATTCCCACCACACCCCACAATACCCCACCACACCTCACCTCGGGCGAGAGCACGGTGGAGACAGTTGGCACAAAGGCGACGACCGAGTTGAAGCGGTTGTGGATGATGTGGTGGGCGCACCACACCTCCCCGCAACCCGCCACACCTCCTCACACCCAAGCACACCTTCCTACCTACACCCCACACCAAACCACCATACCCCGCCACACCTCACCTCGGGCGAGAGCACGGTGGAGACAGTTGGCACAAAGGCGACGACGGAGTTGAAGCGGTTGTAGATGATGTGGTGGGCGCACCACACCTCCCCGCAACCCGCCACACCTCCTCACACCCAAGCACACCTTCCTACCTACACCCCACACCAAACCACCATACCCCGCCACACCTCACCTCGGGCGAGAGCACGGTGGAGACAGTTGGCACAAAGGCGACGACGGAGTTGAAGCGGTTGTAGATGATGCGAGCCGTGTCAAACTCCACGTTCTTGAGAATCTCGTCCACTATCATGGACGTCTGATGATGGGGGTGGAGGGTGGGTGGTGGTGGGAGTCATCATGCGGCTGAGTTGAGTGTGAACGTAATGTAGGAAGGTGGGTTGAGGCTGAACCATTGAGGTCCCCACCACCTGAACCATTGAGGTAGGTCACAGGATGAAGCGAGTAGCGACAAACCCAACGTTCTTGAGAATCTCGTCCACTATCATGGACGTCTGGGGTGGGTGGGTTGGGGAAGGGGGGGTGAGTAGCTGATTTTGTGGTTCAGGTATATGATGGGGTGCATAAACAGGTGGCTTGCAAGGGGGTGATGAAGCGCGCAGTGTCAAACTCAAACGTTCTTGAGAACCTAATCCGCTAACATGGACGTCAGGGGGTGGGTGGGGGGGTTAGGGTGAGTGGTGTTGTGAGGGAACGTGAGGTGAGAGCAAGGGAGTCACAGGATGAAGTGCACGGGTGATGTCTCGATTCTCAAGTGCACGGGTGATGTCTCGATTCTCAAGTGCACGGGTGATGTCTCGATTCTCAAGTGCACGGGTGATGTCTCGATTCTCAAGTGCACGGGTGATGTCTCGATTCTCAAGTGCACGGGTGATGTCTCGATTCTCAAGTGCACGGGTGATGTCTCGATTCTCAAGTGCACGGGTGATGTCTCGATTCTCAAGTGCACGGGTGATGTCTCGATTCTCAAGTGCACGGGTGATGTCTCGATTCTCAAGTGCACGGGTGATGTCTCGATTCTCAAGTGCACGGGTGATGTCTCGATTCTCAAGTGCACGGGTGATGTCTCGATTCTCAAGTGCACGGGTGATGATGTTTCAAGAACGCAGCGCTCTTGAGAATCGAGTCCACTATCATGGATGGACGTCTGCGGGTGGGGGTGGGTGATGCTGCGGGTGGTAATGGTGATGACATAGGCACACAAGATGATGCGTGAACAGTTGAAACTCACGCTCGTGAGAATCCCATCAAGCATCATGGCGCTCTGAGGTTAGTGGGTGGTAGATTACGGTCTCTCTATTTTGAGGCGCCTGAAAAATTGAGGTGTATTTTGAGGCGCCTCAAAATTCACCTTTCTGAGGTTAGTGGGTGGCAGGCAGATTACGCTCTCTGCGTATTGACTTTCCATTTGGCTCAAAAGTCAGTCGATTCCAAAGCTTACACACACCGTTGTCGGCTCTCTGTGTTTCAGCCACCATCATCCCAATCCTGTTCCTGAGGTAACTCTGCTGGCACAGCACTCCAGTTCTTTGCACCCCTCTCTACCCCTCAGCCCCATCCTGCACCACTCTACACTGTTCTCCACCCCTCACCTGCGTGAAGTTGATGCCCTGCTTCTGAGTGTCAGCCACGGTCATGAGAATGGTGTTGTTTGCGTCTCTCTGCAGCTGCAGCTTCGCCTTCTCACCCAGAATCACAAACACCGACTTGTTCTCCTCGGCTGGTAGGGGATAACATAGGGAGGGTGAATGGAAGGGGGGGGGGGATGAGGGAAGGGAAGAATGAACACCCCCTGTGCTAATCCCCTCTGCAGCTGCAGCTTCGCCTTCTCGCCCAGGATCACAAACACCGACTTGTTCTCCTCGGCTGCTGGGAAATTGGAAAGGGAGGGAGGAAGGTGGTGGGGGAGGGGGTAAGCACAACCCTTCTCTGCAGCTGCAGCTTCGCCTTCCCCCCCGGGATCACAAACACCGACTTGTCCTCCTCTGCAGCTAAGTTGGAACATACGCTTGGCTTGCCAGGCGGATTGCGTTTGTGCGCTGGCGTATGTACGCAAAAACGCGATACGCTTGGAATACGCTTAAATTTCGGGCGGGCAGCCCGTCGAAAAAAAAACCCTAAATTTCAGGAATCGCGAGTTGCGTTGCGGAACAATTTGTTCGCACCTCGCGAACTCAATTTGGGTCTCGAAAGTTGTATAGGTTCCACCGCATTGAATCTCAGCATACCTCTCAGATCTAACCCAACCCATCCATCCATCCCCACCAAGAAAGCCATGCACACCCTGCAGGCAAGTACACAAGGTGAGCTCGTCGACCCAACTCACGCAGTCTTCATTTCCGTAGTCGAGTTTCACGCATCGCTTGCCGCCATGTCTACCATATCAAGCACTTCCGCAAGTGCGAGTAGGTTCAGATTGCGTCCGCGGAAGGACCCATTAATATCCGCGAAACCCCCCGCGGAAAATCGGAGGGGATAGGTATGGGTATATAGCACCCTCCCTGCTTCCCCACTCTAGAAAAAAGTATAGTACCCTGCCCGAAAAAGTTTTTACCCTGCCCGCCCCTCCGTATTTCAAGCGCATTTCAACGTCCTCTCTGGACGTATCGCGTATTATACTCCAGCGTATACACGCATGCGTACAAAACGCGAAACGCGTATATTCCAACTTAGCTCTGCAGCTGTGAGACGTCTCAATCCTAAGCGGGATGTTATTTTTCTAGTCCTCATCCAAACCTCCTGCAGCTGCACTGCAGCTTCGCCTTCCCCCCCAGAATCACAAACACTGACTTGCTCTCCTCTGCTGGTAGAGGGCAAACGGGAAAGGGAGGGAGGAGGGAGGGGGAAGGGGTGAGGAAGGGGGAGAATGAACACACAGGAGACTCACCACCCTCCTGCAGAAAGTAGATTTTTGAGACGTCTCAAAAATCTACTTTCTACAGGAGGAGGGAGGGGGAAGGGGTGAGGAAGGGGGAGAATGAACACACAGGAAACTCACGTGATTGAAGAAGTGTTTTGAGACGTCTCAAAACACTTCTTCAATCACGAGGGAGGGGGAAGGGGAGAGGAAGGGGGGGAATGAACACACATGAAACTGACCACCCTCCTCTGCAGCTGCAGTTTCCGTTGACAGGTGTGTTCATACGGTCATGTATAGGCACAAGTAGTGAGAGCGGCACATGCAGCAGACAGCAGCACAACTCACAGCAGCAGCACTCACAGGAGGGGTGAGCACTCACAGGGCGCAGAGATGGCAGAGGCTGCCCGGCTGTGCTTCACGACTGCCGAATTGATGCCTCCACACACACACACCGACCCCTGTCCGTTGACAGGTGTGCTCTTGCGGTGCATGTAAAGCACATCAGCAACACAGCAACAAGCACTCACAGGGGGAGGAGATGAAAGCGACGGCGCAGCTGTGCTTCACGACAGTCGAGTTGAAGCTGCCACACAGCCCCCTGTCCCTGGCCAGGTGTGCTCATGCCATGGTGCCATGCCATGCACACACAACTAGTGCGAGAGGCATGTGCAGCAGGCAGCAGCAGCACTCACAGGTGGGGTGAGCACTCACAGGGCGCAGAGATGGCAGAGACAGCGCGGCTGTGCTTCACAACAGTGGAGTTGATACCACCACACAGCCCCCTGTCCGTTGATAAATGTGCCCATACATCTAGTGAGAGCGGCACGCGTAGCAATGGCACTCACAGGTGGGGTGAGCACTCACAGGGCGCGGAGATGGCAGAGACGGCACGGCTGTGCTTCACAACAGTGGAGTTGATACCACCACACAGCCCCCTGTCCGTTGACACGGCGATGATCAGCGTGCGAGGAGTCACCAGGGCTGCGGGTGTTGGGGAGGGAGGATGGGGGAGCGGGAGGGAGGGTTAGGGTGGAGAATGGAGGGATGGGCATGATGTGAGGAGAATGAGTTGTGCTTCAACGCGAAAGAAATCCAGCTGCTCAGACTGCGTCCGTTGAGAGACTGCGATCATCGAGGAGTCAACAGGGCTGAGGAAAAATGATGCTGGTGGGGAGGAAGGGAGGTGGGTGGGAGGGGACGAGCGGGCATGAGGCAGAGGAATTAACATCAAGGGAACACGGGGAGTTGATCCATCCAGCTCCACAGACCCTCTCTGTCTGTTGACGCCGCGACCACCAGCGTAAGTGGGGTGACCACCAGGGCTGATGATGGCGTTGGAGGGGGAGTGGAGGAGGGGGGATGATGAAAGGGAGAAGGGGAGAGAGTAAAACCGCCATTCTAGCCCTGTAATTCTCCAATCCTACAATCAACATCACCCCCCCCCCCCCCACACACAATGAACTCGCTGGGGTTATCTACGAGCAGGGCAGTGAACGGCTGCCACATGCCGCGGCTCTGCTCCGTCTTGCCCTGCACGCCCCTCAACGACACAGCCTCACTGCTTCCTCACATGCAAGGAGACACACACAGAACAACCTGCGTGCACTCACTGGGGTTATCGCCAAGGAGGGCGGTAAAGGGCTGCCACATGCCGCGGCTCTGCTCCGTCTTGCCTTGCACGCCCCTCAGCTTGGATGCCGCCACCATCTTCATTGCCTTGGTGATCTTCTGAATGCTCCGCACCGACTTCATGCGGTTGCGCACTGACAGGGGAGGGTTGAGGGACAGCCAGGGAGAGTGGAGGAGAGGGAGGGAAGAGTGAACGGGGGGTACATGCCGCCACCGTCTTCATTGCCTTGGTGATGTTCTGAATGCTCCGCACGGATTTCATGCGGTTGCGCACTGAAGGAAGGGGGGAGAGATGATAGAGGGAGGGGACAAGAGAAGGAAGGAGGTGGGGGGGAAGCATTAACCACCATCTTCATTGCCTTGGTGATCTTCTGAATGCTGCGCACCGACTTCATGCGGTTGCGCACTGAAAAATACAGGAGGGAAGTGGGGTTGGAGGAAGAGGGGTTGGGGGGAAGAGGGTGGGGGGGTGGGGGGGTAACAGGCTTGGATGCCGCCACCGTCTTCATTGCCTTGGTGATCTTTTGAATACTGCGCACCGACTTCATGCGGTTGCGCACTGGCATTTTGTGGGAAGTGGAAGGGGGGAGGGAGGGGAGGAGGGAAGAGGAAGGGTTGGGTATCTCAGATCAAGCTAACAGAACAGGCTTAGATGCTGCCATTATCTTCATTGCCTTGGTGTTCTTCTGAATGCTGCACAGCACAACACAGCAACTTCTTGCGGTTTCGCACTGACAAATAGAGGGGGGGGTGGATTGGAATGAAGGGCGGGTTGAAGAATCAGCCACCATCTTCTCAATGCGAAGGGGAAGTGGGATGAAAAGGAGTCAATAACACGAGATGGGATGGAAAGCAATGTAAGGCCCTTTTTCCCAACCCCCTTACCACGAGCCCACGCAGAGACAAACCCCATCCCACCCCACATACTTCTTCCCCATTGACTCAAGACTTTCTGGAATTTAATGAGAGAGCATCATGCTCAACAGCCGCTTCTCTCTTTTCCCCCGTATTCCTGGAAAGGCCCCTATCTTCCGCAACCCGTAGCCGCAAGGTTTGATTTTTTTGGGGGGGGGAGGGGGGGCAATTCAGAACTACAAGCTGCAACGCGCGTACCTGCGAGCTGCGACGCGAAGCGCGCGCCAGCAGGGGCGATGTCGCTGCACGCGAAGGAGGGAGGAAGGGGGCGGGCGCACGTGGAGAGGGGCGGAGGAGGCGGAAGGAGCGGGGGGGAACGAGCGGGGGACGCGGCGGGCGGCGGAAGACGGGAAAGGGGGAACATCAGGGAAGGGGAAAGGGGAGTGAAGGTGAGAGTTTGCAATAGAGTGAGAGATAAGAGGGGAGGGGGAAGGAAGGGGAGAGGAAGCGGGGAAGCAGGTATGGATGATGAAGGGACTCAAACGGGGTTGGAAAAGGAAAAAGGGGGAGAAGAGAGAGGCATGGGCCGACGATAAGATGGTAACCCAGATTCCTAATCATTTCAAAACAGTTGGAACTCGCAGGAAGAATTGCAGAGAGGGCTAGAAGCATCACGAACGGAGCGAGCAGTTCGGAAAGGAGAGGGGTGAGAGAAACGGAACAGCGAATAGGACGCTTCCCGCATTGCAAGGTCACCGAGCTTCCCGTGAAATGAGACGAGCTTTGAGTTTTGAGACGTCTCAAAACTCAAAACTTATCACGCTTCTCGCACTGCAAGGCTACCAAACGCCTTAGTCACTTCGCTCATACTCACGCTCGTCATAATCAGGTCGCCTAAGCTGGCAAGACGATGAGTCAGAACACCAAAACCAAAGACGAACTAACGAAACCACAGACGCACTGGGCGAGTTTGAAAATATATTACTACTAGCAGTCTCGCGTTGGTGAGAGCTACGACTAATAGATCGGATCTGCCGCAGCGGCTGGCGACTGGCGAAGTGTGCGACCCAATCAGCGAAATCGCAGATCGGATCATCGTGCTTGATCGCTCCGTGGTCGTCGCAGATCCGCTAGACGACCCAAACCAATCGGCCAAATCGCAGCCCTGTCCCCGTTATAGCCTCTCATTACCCGAGCTGATATCGGCATCTGGTTGTCTCTAGAGCCACTGCGAACGAATCTGCTGTGACGTCATCGTCAGCTGCTCCGACGATTGTACTGTTCTGCGCACGGCTGACATGGAGTGACGTCACCTCCTCCCAGATACGAGGAACCCTAAAGCGCTGCGACGGTACGAAACTCCGGTAAAGCGGCTTTAACTAACGTCATGACACGTAGACTACATGCATAGCCCATTCGCTAAGCGCTCCGACCACCTGGAGTACCGTAGATGGGGGATACGCTGCGCGATCCCTGAGCGGCATCAACGCCGCGATTCACGGCAAACAACCAACGGATCGGATCTTATAGCCCTGCTCGGAGTTGACTAAATCGCCAGGAACGACTCACCCGCCGACCACCTGCTGTGCCATCGGCATCGCCGCGGCGGCAGCGGCGCCGTGAGTCACGGGAGCGCGCGACGCGGCGACGACGCCGACATCGTAGATCGATCGCAGGAGCCTCAGACCCTCGCGACGGGCACCGGGGCACGCCATATCGGAGATAAGCGGGGAGAGTAGCGGGGGGAGAGATCTAGTGGCTGGAAGACACGCAAAGAAGGCGTCGCGCGACTGCTGAGGCGAGCGGGAACGGCGGCGATGCGACGGGCGGAAGTGGTGGGGGGTCTGGGGTAAGGTGCGTAGTCAACTGCTACCTACGCGATGAGTGTGACTGCTGCGCGGGTGCTCGCACTGACCGCCATGGTCGCGCGGGGGCGACGGGAGGGCGCTTGTGGGGGAAGTGGGGGAAAGGGGGTTCGGGGGGAGGGAGAGCGAGGCGAAGGGGGACAGCGAGTGGAGAGATGATAGCGAGTACAGATTTTGCAAATTTTCCAATAAGTACTGGTAATTTAGATACTCTTGCAAGAAAGAATGAAAACTACAGCACATGCTGTCCTATTTCCATGAATAAAATAATGAATAAATTTCTAAACTGAAACCTCTATCAAATGTTTTTCCATCAGCTGCACAAGTCCCGTCGGATTGTCCACATGCACCCAATGCCCAGCTCCCTTCAAAACATGCAAATGCGCTCTGCATCCCTTTTTCCCACCCTCATCACCCTCATTCCTCAGCGAATCCAAGCTCTCTTCTTCGCACTTCGCCGACTCAGCAACTGCCTCCTCCAAGTCAGCGAGGCACTTGGCTTTCCACACGCCGCTCCTCTCCCCTTTCACAAAGTGCACCTGTGTGCAACCACATTCCACCTGCTTCTCCGTAGGTACCTCTCCCTCCTCCTGCTGCTCTAGCTGATGCTGCTGCTGCTGTTGCTGAACTTTCTGCGCCTGGGTCTGCATGGGTTGGTGCCACGGCTGCTGCACCAATCCCCACTTCACTCCCTCACCTGCTCCTGGCTTCACAAACTTGGGCTCCGATTGAACCGCCCTACCAATCCTCTCTACTTGAAGCTCTTGGGATTGTCTGGGATGTGACTGCAGAGGAGGTGCTTGTGGGGGGGGGTGGTGCTCCTCATGTGGCCGATTGCACAGGTTTTTCACAAAGGGTAGCAAATCCGTTTGCCTGTCACACCACGCAATGCCATGCCGTGCCGTGCCATGCCATGCCATGCCGTGCCATGCCATGCCGTGCCATGCCATGCCGTGCCATGCCATGCCATACCATGCCGTGCCATGCCATACCATGCCGTGCCATGCCGTGCCACACCCCACAAGAGCATGCAACCAGAAGGTGTGAAGCATGAGTCATGATGAAATTCTGGAAGCAAAGGCATTACTAAGGGCCTCTTCTTTCCCCCCTTTCTTTTCTACCAATGAGGAATAATTGCTGCGAGATTGCCATGATATTTGCCTCTTGCTCTTTCCCTCCCTCCCTCCCTTCCAACCTCCCTCAGTGGTTCTGCCCCCCAGCCCCTAGCCCTTGCTCTGTCAGACATGCACACACACACGGATGAATATGGGTCGGCACACAGAAACACGCATATGGTCCCCCACCCACACAAACGTGTCACCCCCCACCACACACACTGCAAAGATGTCTCCACTCCCTTCTCACACACACACTCACACACACACACACACACACACAAACAAACAAACACACATGCCCCTCCCTCCCTCCCTCAAACTCCTACTCCTGCACACACAAACCCCATCAGAGTCACCTGTACCTGTTGCAGAGAGACACGGCCCCATCCAGGTTGAACACCCAATCCATCTCCCCGTTCCAGGAGGCCCTGACGCCCCCTCACTAGCTCCCGACCTCACTAGCTCCCGGCCTCACTAGCTCCCGGCCTCACTAGCTCCCGGCCTCACTAGCTCCCGGCCTCACTAGCTCCCGGCCTCACTAGCTCCCGGCCTCACTAGCTCCCGGCCTCACTAGCTCCCGGCCTCACTAGCTCCCGGCCTCACTAGCTCCAAACAGTGCACCCTCCAGCACACATATTCCCCTCCCCACCCTCCAATAGTCACCTGTAGCTGTTGTCGAGAGAAACAGCTCCATCCAGGTTGAACGCTCAATCCATCTCCCCGTTCCCAGTAGGCCCTGATGCAACCTCACTAGCATCCACCCTCCAAGCTCCAAACAGTGCACACTCCCCCGCACATATTCCCCTCCCCTCCCTCTCAACCTCACCTGTAGCTGTTGTAGAGAGAAACAGCGCCATCCAGGTTGAATACCCAATCCATCTCCCCGTTCACACCAGCCCCGGCAGCAGCCGAACCAGCCGAACCAGCTATGGGCCTGAGGCTCGTGGCAAGCCACTCAGCCAAGCCTGAGGAGAAGCCTCGGCGCTGAGTCAGCTCCTGGAGGAGCCACCTGCGGTTCGGGAGTTGCACGGAGGCATTATGCATGTAGGCATGGTGCATGTAGGCATGGTGCATGCAGGCATGGTGCATGCAGGCATGGTGCATGCAGGCATGGTGCATGCAGGCATGGTGCATGCAGGCATGGTGCATGCAGGCATGGTGCATGCAGGCACCTAAGCACAGTGCATGTAGATCTATGTACAACGAAAGCACACGGGTTTTCAGGTTTAGGGCGACTTTTGGGAGTAGCTAGTACCTTTTGGAGGGAATAGGGCGGGGCAGCTCCTGCAGCGTTGCAATCACTCGCTCCACGTCCCTCCGCTCCGCATCCTCCCCCAACGTGCAGTCAGATATGCGGCCCGGAACCGAGTCTAGCACCCACAGCTGGGGAGGGAGGAAAGCGAGAGAGAGAGAAGGGTATGTGAGCACATGATGAACCATCTCACATTCCCCCCGAACGTGCAATCAGATATGCAGCCCGGCACCAAGTCCAGCACCCATAGCTGGGGAGGGAGGAGGGACAACGGAGACCAGCATGTGAGAGCATGATAATCAGATACACCATCCCATTCTCCCCCATGCAAATGACGATTCCTTGCTCTCTCCTCCCCTCCACCCACACAAGTATACTCCCTCATTTCTTCCCCAATGAATTCATACCACCTGCTGCAGCAGCAACCCTGGCTAGCTCCCTTTCTCCCCCATCTTCTTCTACCACCTCCTCACTCACTCATCTTCCTCACTTTCTCATCTCCCTCATTCCCTCGTCTCACTCACTCCCTCATCTCCCTCACTCCCCCATCTACCTCATTTCCCTCTTTCCCTCCCACCTGCTGCGGCAGCATCACTGGCAATTCCCCCGCGCGAGCCCTCCGCACATACTCCAGCGCGATCTTCCCGCCCATAGAATGACCAATCACCACGTCAGCTCTCCCACCCGCCACGTCAGCGACGAGGCGCGCCAGATCAGCAGCCGCGTTACTCATGTCATCCGGCTGAAGGAACTGCCGGGCGGCGGATTGCGCGTGGTGCCGAAGATCCACCAGCAGAAAACGCCAAGAAAGCCCGCTTGCTGATTCTTCAGCTGCGAGAGATTTGCCAGCAGTAACCAGCCGGTTTCCTAGAAGCTTCGCGGGGCTGCGCCAATTGCGACCGGATCCCAGCAGGCCGTGAACGATGACAGCTGTCGCGGTCCTATTGGTGCTCGGGCTCTTGGAATCATCGGACGAGCCATTAGGGCGTATAACGAGTTCTTCGTAAGCGAGGATGGTTCGAGAAGAGTCAGATGCCGGGAAGCCTGCCTGGTTGGTAGATTGGCTTGCGATTGCCAACCCAAACGAACGGCTGGATCCTCCTGCTGCTGCTGCTGTAAACGGAAGTTCCTGTTCCAGCGAAGCGAAAAATGGAAGGACTCGGTGCCGCGTGGGAAGATATCGCGTTTTCGCGGTTCGCCTGACGAATCCGACGAGCAAATTCATTGGAGAAGGATCTGTAAGAAGCTTCACCGTGAAGCCTTCAGCTGGTATTACAAAAGAGTCGAACAGAAAACTACTGCGAAGGTGGCTCTCATAACCGCGATGCAAAATTGGCGAAATTCCGCTAAAAAACTGCAGTGGAGAAGGTATAGAGATGATGATACCGAGAGGAGCACGGAAACGCGGCACGATCGTAGAACCTATGTTGACGATCTTGTTCCCTTCATATCCTGCCTTCGTCCCTCCCTATCGGCGCTCTATGTCAAACCTCAAAACTGTGCTTCATTACCCTTCTAGTCTCAAAACGCTCTCAAAGCTAAAGGATCGTGGGCGGAATGGTCTAGTCTACTACGTCTAAGATATCTGAAGCTGAGTGGACCGTACTCGCTAAAAGCCCGATTCAGCTCACATTACCGCTAACGAAATGTGGATGGAGATTCGCCTGGTGTAGAACAACCATCCCACCACTCATTTACAAATGGGAGCTGAGCTGGATTGCAGGGGTGTTGACGACATCCGGGCTGAAAAATGTCCTACCTTCCACCTGGATGCTCGCGCAGTAGAATGCCGTCGATGGCTGTGAGCGATATTGTCTACGCCGTCGATATTGTACGTATGGCATCCAATCGAAAAGAGGGGATCCCTTTCGAACCTATCAGCACGAACCTCGACTTGCTTTGGGTTTGTCCCGTGACATCCGGAAGGAGGTGCAGCCTATCACACCACACCACACCTTCGCGCGCATCAAACCATCCATGGCATAAGATGAAATGGTCATGTTCATTGTCAACTTGCACCAGGCCACAGCCTCAGCAGTCAGGAGCCCTTACGTAGTGACCATGCCTCATTTTCGGCATGTATGTAGGTTTGCTTATTAGGCATTTAGGCTCGGTCAGCCTCAAAACGGGCTGAAACTACCCAGTCACAGCTATATCAAATTTCAGCCAGTCATAGAAAGGCTAAGACTAAACATCATACATAGGTACGGTACTCTCATACCTCTTCCGAACCATTTCTCCAGGCCAAGTCGTACCCCAGCACATACCATGCTCACATCGCATTTGCTTCTCCCGAGCCGCACAACCTGCAAGGATGACAAATGAGCTCACACCACCAAACCAGATACATTCGTTCGTCCAAGGCCTCGCAGGAATTCGCCCTTGGAATGTCATTCATCATTCGCCTCGTCTCGCCTCACATTTTGCCCTTGTCATCACCATTCCCTCTCCCATTTGCACTTGGTTTTTCGCCTTCCTCACTCTCACCAAGCACCCGTCTGCCAAATTCCTGCGCCCACAGCACATTCACCCGTGCTTGTTTTGAAACCCTTGCTTTCTTCTGCATAGAAAGGTGTAGACAGTTGTTTTTCAGGACGTTCTCCTGCTCTGCCATTCCAATTCCTCTCTCTGTCACGGGAAACTCTCAGCACGTTCTAGCTCGCAGGATTACTCAGGTTTCTAGCTTTTGGAGGCAAGAAGTCTTCATCTTAGGGGGCAGCGAAAGCGCGGTTCTCGACGAGGCTCGTGCTTTTGCTGTTCCTTGAAAGAAAAAGAAAAAACAAATCCTTGTGTTTCTCGAATTCCTACGAAATTCGTTTCAAACAAGCAGTAGTGCCTCGGCTGCCAGTCGGCCACCTTCTATTCGCAGGACGACGGCCGTGGTTTCCCATATTGTGATTAGCCTAGTATGCCATTCTCCATTCTCAGGATTCACAACTGCCATTCGAAGGACTCCAGCGCACTTTCGTCTCACCCTGCGGACTTGCATGCGGCATAAAAGGCACCGCTGAGACCTCTGAGTTCCGTTTCGCACAGCGTGTCTATCAGGGAACGGAGCGTTTCACGCCCCTCCGCGCCAGAACTCTAGCAGCTCAACTTCAGGCAGCCAGCAGCCATGATTGGCGCCACGTGCAGCAGCGACGCGATGAAATCTGACAACCCCTCGCTCGCCGTCACGAGCCTTTCCGGCGACTCGAGCGGCGGGTCCAAGGAGGTGATGACGCTCGTGACAGTCCCCTCGACGTCTCTTATCACTGCCGCTACAGCCAGCGGCGATGCTACAACCGACGGCTATTTTGCAATCCGGGCCGGACATGCTACAGCCGCTGGCGCAACCGCCGTCGGTGTTGCTGTTGAACCGGCACCCGCGTTCGAGGAACCGCCGCTCTCGCGTCAGCGGAGGGAGACGGAGGAGCTGCTGTTGGCGGTTAACTCGAGCGTGCTGCTGCGGATTCTGTCTGACGTCAGCCTGTCTGCGGAGGACCTCGCGCGCCTCGAGGTAACGCGCGTGCGAGCAGATCCTGAGAATGAGAAATAGTTTCAACGTGCGGCGCCCCTTGTTTGGAGCAGTCGCCTCAGAGCTGTCGTTGGCTGAAATCCTTGTCGTTTTTAAAGTAGCCTTGGCTCGTAGATTTTTTGGCTTTACCTTGGCATGTGATTCCTTTTGTCTCATATCAAGTCGCGCACGTCTTTTGAAAGTTTCTTGCTGTCTGACTTGTGGTGCGGGTTAACGCGCGGCACACCTAGAAATTTAACACGCGCGTGGCTTAGTTTTCAATGCATGCGCGTCTTTCCGGCGGAAGGAGTCAGCTCTCTCCCGTGTCGCCCCTCCCCCGTACCTCTTCTCTCCCGCACCTTCTCTCCCCTCTGCCTTCCTCCGTGCCTCCCCTCGCGTGCCCCGCCAGTTCATGTGCGGGTTCTTCCGCCGGGCCGCGCCTCTGACTCCCCACCCGCGCCTCTGACTCCCCACCCGCGCCTCTGACTCCCCACCCGCGCCTCTGACTCCCCACCCGCGCCTCTCTTTGACGGAAGCGGCGGCGCACGACCCAGCAGCTCTCCCTGCGCTTCCGCATGCCGTCTGTCCACCGTGCCGTCTCTCCCATCTGCCTTTCCCCCCCTTCCTCTTCCCCCCACCCCGCTCCAACAGCTAGTGTGTGGTTTCTTCCGCCGGCCCGCGCATCTGACTCCGCACCCGCGCCTCTCATTGTCGGAAGCGGCGGCGCACGACGCCAGCAGCTCTCCCTGCGCTTCGGCATGCCGTCTCACCGTGCCAGGAGAGGGTCTCTGCCTTTCCCTCCGTGCCACTTTCCCCCAATCCTGCTCCAACAGCTCGTGTGCGGGTTCTTCCGCCGCCCCGCGCACTTAACTCCGCACCCGCGCCTCTCGCTGGCGGAAGTGGCGGCGCACGACCGCTGCCAGCAGCACTCCCTGCGCTTCCGCATGCTGCCGCGCGCGCAGCAGCGCCTGTTGTGGGCGCGTTGCGGGCGTTCGTGGAAGCTTCTGCTGCGTTTCCTTATTACCAGCGACGCCTGCATCAGGTAACAGGGTAACTAAAGTGACATTCTGTGAAATCCGGTAACGTTTGGTAGCATCAGGTAACAGGTTAACTCAGGTAACCTATTGTAACATCGGGTAACGTCATGGCAGCACTTGGTAACATCAGATAAGATCTGGTAACATGTGGTAACAACTGGTAGTGGTAACGCTAGGTGACGTCATTGCATAACTGCGTTCTTTGCTGTCGCTCGACTGTGCTTTTTGCAAGTTGTTTTCCTGCTGTACCTTCTCCTTTTGCTTCCCACTGGCTAATTGTCGAATATAACTTCCCTCTGGCTCGAATCCTGTCTGCCAGGCACGGCCAGCCCCAGGTGGCAGCGGGGTGTGCGCACAGCGTAGCGGTGGGGCGCGGTGGAGATGTGTGGACGTTCGGGCATGGGTCGGCAGGGCAGCTGGGGAGACCCCTGGCTGCTGCTGGCAGTACTGTTGGTGCTGGTGCTGCTGCTGGTGGTGCTGCTGCTGCTGCTGTTGCTGATTATGCCGGTTTTGCCGCCGCTGCTGCGGCTGCTGTTGGTGGGTTTGCTGGTCTTGCAAACGATGTGACAACCACTCTGGCAGCCACTGCAACGGGGGCTGTGACTGTGACTCTAAGGAGTGGGGTTGAAAGGGGGCTGGTGGGGAGCGGTGATGCATCCGCGGAACCTTCCTGGAAGCCACAGATTGTGAGGTGAGGACTGTCACATGGAAACATGGTTCCATGCGGTGCGTGCAGGTTGAGTGTGAGGTAGTGAGGTAGGTTGCGATGTAAGACGGTTCACAATAAGCTATATAACTTCAAGTGAAGTGTGTGACACGATATGAGCGCATGTAATAAGTAAAACACAAGGGATCAACTGTAACGCATCGCAATGTGATATCATTGCAACTCCAAGGGTGTCTCACTGTTGTGTGCCCTGCTATGCATGTGAGAGAGCAATACCGCACTCAAAGTGCTGTCATACATACCGAGTTCCCCGCTCCACTGCATGCCTATCGGTGCTATGACTGCAGGTGTTGCAGGCGGCAGCGGGTAGGGCGCGTACCATGCTAGTCACAGACACAGGCTCACTCATTCTGCATCCTTCTTCCTCCTCTCCCATCCCACAGGTCCCTGCTGGAAGTGCAGGTGTTGCAGGCGGCAGCAGGCAGGGCGCGTACCATGCTAGTCACAGACACAGGCTCGGTGTATCAAGTAATCATGCTCTCTATCCGCCTCCTCCTCTCCTTCCCCATGCTCTCTCATTCTCCACTGCATGCAGGTCGGTGCTATGAGTGCCGGTGTTGCAGGCGGCAGCGGGCAGGGCGCGGGTAAGAAAGAATATGCTAGTCACAGACACAGGCACAGGCTCAGTGTATCACGGTCTCATGTTCTTTCTTACCGCTGCCCTTTTCCCGGCTGCCTCTGTCCATCCACCACACGCAGGTCGTTGCTAGGAGTGCGCGTGGTGCAGGCAGCAGCAGGCCGGGCGAGAACGATGCTGGTCTCAGACACAGGCTCGCTGTATCACTGCGACCTGCTCTTTATTCCCACCGTCCTTTCCTCCCCCATGCTCTCTACTCACTTCTCAGGTCGTTGCTGGGAGTGCGAGTGGTGCAGGCAGCAGCAGGCCGGGCGAGAACGATGCTGGTCTCAGACACAGGCTCGCTGTATCACTGCGACCTGCTCTTTATTCCCACCGTCCTTTCCTCCCCCATGCTCTCTACTCACTTCTCAGGTCGTTGCTGGGAGTGCGAGTGGTGCAGGCAGCAGCAGGCCGGGCGAGGACAATGCTAGTCACAGACACAGGCTCGGTGTATCACTTCGGCAGGGACTGCTTCGGCGACCAGGAATACTCCCTCACCTCCCCCGAGCCTGTTACCGAGCCTCGGCTCGTGCATTCGCTTCGGCACATTCAAGTCGTCCAGGTGAGGCGCCTTAAAAGCAATTACCTTCATTATTATGACCCACTCTCTCACACTTTGCCATGCTCTGGTCCTTCTCGATGTGACTTTTGAGTGAGTCGACTCAAAATTCACCCAGTTACCTTCATTATTATGACCCACTCCCTTCACACTCTGCCTTGCTCTGGTCCGGAGACTTCTCAAAGCTTCAAGCTTGATTGTGTCGTACAACTCATCCACACCGCTTCGGATCTCTTCAACATCCCTTCACACCCCTTCACACCCCTTCACACCTCTTTGCATCTGTACCTCCCTCATTCGCAGCGCTCTCTCTGCTTTCACCCCTTCCGCCGTGCAGGTCGCGTTGGGGAATTTCTTCACGGCAGTTCTCTCAGCTGAAGGCCGCGTCTTCACTCTCTCTTGGGGCGGCCGGGGGGACGGCAGCAGTGCCCTCTGCGCTCTTTCAATGCCCCTCTCTCTGCTGCTTTCACCCCTTCCGCCGTGCAGGTCGCGTTGGGGAATTTCTTCACAGCAGTGCTTTCAGCTGAGGGCCGCGCTTTCACTCTCCGTTGAGGTGGACGGGGGGGCTTTTGAGTCGACTCAAAAGTCAGCAGTGCTCTCTGCGCTCTTTCAAAGCCCCTCTCTCTGCTTCCCACCCCTTCCCCTCTGCAGGTGGCGTTGGGGAATTTCTTCACAGCAGTGCTTTCAGCTGAGGGCCGCGTCTTCACTCTCTCTTGGGGCGGCCGGGGGGATGGCAGACGTACCACCATCACTGCTGCTGCTGCTGCTGCTGCTGCCGCTGCCGCTGCTGCTGCTCCTGCTGCTGCGGCTGCTGCTTTTCCTGTTGCTGCTGTTTCCGCGAATTCTGACGCTGATGGCGATGCGAGCCAGAGCTTTAATGATGCTGTGGCAGCAGGCAGTGAGATCCGAGGCGAGAGGCTCGGGCACGCCACCGACCCTGCGGATACCGTGCCTCGGCAGCTGGCCGGGCCTGGGATGAGCGCCGTGCTTGGGCTGGGTGGAGGGGGGAGAGGAGGGGGTTGTGGAGGGAGGAAGGGGAGGCTTGGTAGGAGGGCGGGAAAGGGCGTGGGAATGAAAGGAAAGGGGTTGGTAGGATGTTGTGGAGTCACGGGGTGCAGTAGTGTGGGAAGTGGTGATGGTGCAAGTGGTGATGGTGCTAGTGGTGCTGGTGCTGCTGGTGCTGGTAGTGCTGGCTGTGGCAGCTGCAAGAGTGGTGAAACACGTACGGAGATGGAGAATATGGAGGCGGAAGGGGGAGAGGAGTGGGAAGAAGAAGAGGAGGAGGAGGAGGAGGGCGGGATAGTGTCTCTCCCAGTGGTGCAGATAGCAGGAGGGCACTGCTACCTGCTCGGGTTGACCTGCGCCAACGAGCCTCACGGCAGGTGAGGGCACACAGTAGTAATGTGAGTGATAAGCTTAGTGGCGCAATAGTGTCTCTCCCAGTGGTGCAGATAGCAGGGGGACACTGCTACCTGCTGGGACTGACTTGTGCCAAGGAACCTCACGGCAGGTGAGGCTGGTGATACGCCTAGTGGTGGGGTGTGATGTGGTGTGGTGTGGTGTGGTGTGGTGTGGTGTTGTGTGGTTTGATGTGGTGTGGTGGGACAAGTGGTGCAGATAGCAGGGGGGCATTGCAACTTACTGCAAGTGTGCCCCGTGATAGGTGTGGTGTGGTGTGGTGTGGTGTGGTGTGGTGAGCCGTGTACAGATGGTATTGGCCATGCCATGGCACAGAACGGTGCAGATAGCAAGCAAGAGAGGCACTGCCACTTGCTCGGGCTGACTTACTACACTACACTAGCATGGGAAGCTGGTAGTTTTCGTTGAAAAGTTAGGCTACGTCACACACCCGTTTCCTTCCTCCTCTCTCTTCCCCCCTCCTTTCCTCAGGTCGGTCTGGTCCATAGGTTGTGGTCTGGGCGGCAAGCTAGGCCACGGCACTCTAGTGGTCTTACCACCCTCTCTTCCCCCGCCCATCCCCTCTTTCCCGCCCCCCCGTCAAAACCCCTCCTCTCTCTCCCCCCTCCTTTCCTCAGGTCGGTCTGGTCCATAGGTTGTGGTCTGGGCGGCAAGCTGGGCCACGGCACAAAGTACGACGAACGCCGCCCGAAAGAGATCTCGCATTTCAAAGCCCTAGAGATCGCCCCCACAGCTGTTGCTGCGGGCGCGTGGCATGCTGCTGCTGTCGCTGCTGACGGTTGAGTCGCCACGTGGGGGTGGGGCAGGCAGTGGCACACAAGATCACAGCCGTTTTTTCCTCTTCCTCTTCTGCTTCCCTCCCTGCTCTCTTCTCCCCTGTTCCCCCGCTTCCCCCCTCGCCTCCTCAGGTCTGTCTGGTCTATTGGCTGTGGTCTGGGCGGCAAGCTAGGCCACGGCACAAAGTACGACGAGCGCCGCCCGAAAGAAATCGCGCACTTCAAAACCCTAGAGTTCGCCCCCACAGCCGTTGCTGCGGGCGCGTGGCATGCTGCTGCTGTTGCTGCTGACGGGAGAGTTGCCACGTGGGGGTGGGGCAGGCACGGGTGTCTAGGGCATGCAAAAGACCAGTGTGAAACGCTGCCCAGGGTTATTGAGAGCTTGTGTAAAACGGAGGAGGAGGGGGGTATGAGTAGTGGGGTGAGTGGAAGGGGCGGTGTTGGCGCTGGTGCTAATGATGCTGCTGGTTCTGGTGGTGCTGCCTCTGCTGCTTCTCCCTCTGCTGCTGTTGTTTCTCCATCTGGATCAGACGCAGCTGCCAGCAGGGATGAATCGCACGGCTCACGTGGCAAGCTCCGTCCAGCTGTGAAAGCATGCCACGTGGCAGCAGGGGATTACACGACGTTTGTGGTGGGGGAGGGCGGCGAGGTGTGGTCGTTTGGGAGCGCGGAGAGCGCGTGTTTGGGGCATGGGGGCGGGTGGGAGAGGGAGGAAGAGGAGGAAGGCGAAGAGATCGATGATGCTGATCTGCACGATATCGTGGTGAGTAGTGTGGTGGGTGTAGGGTCATGGGTCATGGGTCATGGGTCATGGGTCATGGCAGAAGGAGAGTACGAAGAAGACGAGGAGGTGGACGATGCGGATCTGCATGACATCGTGGTGGGTGCTTTTCTTTCTTTCTTTCTTTCTTTCTTCCTTCCTTTCGTTCTTTCTTTCTTTCTTTCCTTCTTTCTTTCTTTTATAGGAAATATGGATCCATGCTGTTTTGCATGAACGCGTTTGAAGAAGAGTGTTGAGACGTCTCAAAACCCTTCTTCAAAAATATGGATCCATGCTGTTTTGCATGAACGCGTTTGACCACCTCCCTGAAGTGCCTGTTTTCGCTGTTTGCCACAAACAATGGCCTCTTCTCTTCTCCCCCCCCCCCCCCCCCCTCACCACACCAGCTGCTGCAGCACCGGAGGCGCAACCGGGATGTGATGCAGCCCAGGCGGATGTCTCTGAGCTGCTCATTCCCCTGCTTCTCTTACCCCTCCTGCATTCCCTCTCCCTTCCACTGCCCACTTCCCCCACCTTTCCCCAGCTGCGGCAGCACCGGAGGCGCAACCGGGATGTGATGCAGCCCAGGCGGGTGTCTCTGCTGGAGGAGCGAGCTACCCGCTTCTCTTACCCCTCTTGCTCTTCCCTCTCCCTTACACTGCCCACTCCCCCCACATTCTCCCAGCTGCGGCAGCACCGGAGGCGCAACCGGGATGTGATGCAACCCCGGCGGGTATCTCTACTGGAGGAGAGAGCTGCCCACCCCCCGGCTCCTCTTCCCACTGCCCCGGCTCCTCTTCCCACTGCCCCGGCTCCTCTTCCCACTGCCCCAGCTCCTCTTCCCACTGCCCTGGCTCCTCTTCCCACTGCCCCGGCTCCTCTTCCCACTGCCCCGGCTCCTCTTCCCACTGCCCCGGCTCCTCTTCCCACTGCCCCGGCTCCTCTTCCCACTGCCCCGGCTCCTCTTCCCACTGCCCCGGCTCCTCTTCCCACTGCCCCGGCTCCTCTTCCCACTGCCCCGGCTCCTCTTCCCACTGCCCCTGCTGCTGCTCCTGCCGCTCCTGCTGCTCCTGCTGCTCCTGCTGATGCTGCTGGTGCTGCTGATGCTGCTGGTGCTGATGCTGCTGATGATTCTGCAGCACTTGCGTCTACTGCCAACCTGATTGCTCTCCCTGCTGCTGCCACCCCTCTTGCTGCTGCAACTCCTACTGCTGCCCCTCGCTCAGACCCTACGCTGCTAGGCGGGGGACCTGGCAGTGCAAGGGCGGGTGTGAGAGGGGTGTTCACGTGGGGCAGTCTGCCTGCTGCTGCCACTGGGGGACGAGGAAGCGACCCTGCAACGATTCCTGCTCCTGCTGTTGACGCTGCAGCTGCTGCTGCTACTGCGGCTGCTGGTGCTACTGCCACTGCTGCTGCTGCTACTGCCACTGCTGCTGCTGCTACTGCCACTGCTGCTGCTACTGCCACTGCTGCTGCTGCTACTGCCACTGCTGCTGCTACTGCTGCTGCTACTGCTGCTGATCGATCTGGTCCTTCTGGTGCCGTCACTCCTGTAACACCGCTCTTGTCTGTGGTTACCAGTAGCTCTGGGAACGGTAGTGGCAGTTTGAGTGGTAGCGATGCGAGTGGGAGTGGCAGTAGTGATGCCATGGCTGTGAGCTTGAGTGACTGGATGAGCAGTATTGTCAGTAGTAGTGTTGGTAGCAGCAACGTTGCCAGCAGCAGCAGCTCCGGCCTTAATAGCCCCGGCGGCAACAGCAGCAGCAACAACACCAACACCAACATCAGCAACAGCAATGGAAACGGCATGAGGAGCACCGGCAATGCTACAGGCGGTAGCAGCAGCAGCAGAAGGGGTACGGTGGTGCAGATAAGTACGTCAAATGCCGGCCACTTTGACGCTCACATGCTGGCGTTGACCAGTGATGGCAGGGTGCTGGCGTGTGGGGGCGGGAGTAAGGGGCAGCTGGGGGCGCCCCCTGCTGCAGGGGATACATCCTTCCCTCAGTTTGTAAAGGGGTTGGTTCTGTGAGTGGCTTGTACTGGATGAGAAGGGCTGACCTGCGATGACCGGCGTTGACCAGCGATGAGAGGGCGCTGGCATGTGTGGTTGGGAGTAAGAGGCAGCTGGGGGCGCCCCTTGCTGCAGGAAACACGTCCTTCCCCCAGTTTGTGAAAGTTCTGGTTCTATGAGGGTCTTGGGCTGACTGGGCGCTGGCGTTGACCAGCATTGACCAGCATTGACCAGCGACGGGGTTGCTGAGATGTGTTGCTGGCACTTGGTGCGGTGCTAATTCTGACCAGCATTGAGCAGAGATTTTAGGGGACAGGTGTGTGAGCGGCGGGGCACAGACAGCCACAGGAAGTTCAGGTAGAACCCCTGTGAAGAGATGGTGCGGATGGTGTGTGACATGGAAGATGAATGATAGGGAGGATGGGCGGCAGGGAGGATGGGCGGCAGGGAGGATGGGCGGCAGAGAGGATTACGTGGGGATTGGCAGGCCCTGTAGTCCTCTCCTGTGGGCAGTGGATGTAAGACTGTAAGGTGGTATGGTGTTGCGTATAAGGTGGTAAGGTGGTTCATAAAGGGTTGGGGTACAGGGTGGTGGTAAAGAGTGTGAGAGGTGAAGGTACGCAACGTTTTAGAAGGTGATGGGGACAATGGTTGGCAGGGAGGATGGGCGGCAGGGGAGGGTGGTTTTCAGAGAGTTGGGGGGTACGGGCCGGTGGGTGGTGGTAAAAACGATGGGATAGGTGGAGGTACGTAACGTTTTGTATAATTTGTGAGTTTGTACAGGAAGCACGGGGATGTGAAGAATTGAAGACTCAAGAGCAAGGAGCTCTTGAGTGAGAGTGGTGACTCATCATTGTCTCTCTGTACTGTAGTGTGCATATTTTGGTGGTGATTGAATATAAACAAAATAGTATAGCTGATATAAGGGGGGTGCCAATGCGTGGAACGTTGAAGGGTCGAAGTTAGTAGTGGCAGGGTTATCGCCAGCATGAGAAGGCCTTCAGTAGTTGAAACAGGCGGGATTTTAACTTGTAAATATGTATTCGGTGGTAAATGCTTTTGTGAGGTTAGGTAGACAGACCAACATGTGAGCACGTGGAGAGGCGTGTCTTCAGAAACAAGGCATTGATGTGTAATACCAAAAATTGTCCGCAGGGCATAAATTGCGATTGGGTATTCAGTCCAATGCCTGTTGTTCAATGGAACTCTTGATGTTGGTTAGCATATATGCATCGTTTTGCTACTTGTATTAGAAGCAATTTCTAATGCATAACGTACTCGATTTGGACTAGGGATATGCAGTGTAGGTGATACACCCATACTGAATTTCGGACTTCCTCGAGGAGATCGAGCCGCGATTATGTGGTTCGGGGCAGGTCCCGAATGTACTTCTGAATGCGGCTCAGCGCGTTATTGTACGATTTAGAGCGTTCTAGTTAAACATACAATGGAAAACGTGTTTTCCACCCCTCACCGCCAGCTACATCGAACACCTTCCGGGAAATCGAGTCGCGAAACCATTGGACATTGACATTGCGGGGAAATGCTCCCCCCCTGTGCCGAGAAGAAAAGAAAGGAAAAGAATCGTGACATTCATGAAACAAACACACGTCCCCAGCACTGCAAGTGTTTGAGCACCCATCCTCAGAGGTATAAATGACTACTCTCATCGCTTCTTATCAGCATTCCTTCCTCCCTCGGTCGTCACCCATCCTGTTCGCACCTGTTTTAAATCCCGTTTCTGATCACTCCACGTCCGCATTTAACAGTATTCATATATATCCCTGTTAATGTTTCCGCCTTGAAGAACCCCAGCCTCTCCAACAGCCCGTCTAAATGGCAAAACTCACGGGAAACGTCTCCCTGCTGCTCGTTGTGCTCTCCCTCGTCTGCCTCTCGCCTCTCCCTCTCGCATCCGCCGGTGCGCCGCTTACTAGTAAGCAACGCATCGCGCGCACGCCCCGGGCGCACGAAGAGCACCGCCGTCAGCGCCAGCTGACCGACATTGTCGGCCGTGGCGCGACCACGCGTGTGCACACGTCTGAAGATCCAAGCGCTCCAATAACATACGGAGGAGGGCCTGTGATGACCGGAAACCCGTCCATCAACGTGTACATCATCTACTACGGCAGCTGGCCGGCAGGATCGGGGCAGAAAATAATCGAGAATTTCATCAGATCGCTGAGCGCGGACTCGCAGCGGCAGGGGAGTCCCGCGGATCCCAAGGTGAAGCGCTGGTGGGCGATCAGCGCGGCGTACACGCAGGAGGAAGAGGACGGCACAAAGACGAACGTCAGCAGCAAGGTGTGTTGCACATAAACGTTGCCACTACTCCCTCCCATAACTTTGCCACAACACCCCTCCCATAAAGCGCCTCGTCTCTCTCTATCAACTTAATGAAATGCAAATTATTTTGCATTCGTTTCATCCCAGGTGCGCCTCGCCAGGACTGTCTGTGACAACTACTCGGCGGGAAAGGATTTTGGCAAAGACACGGTTTGGGAAGGTACGCAGCACGGCAAAACCATTTCGCGGCCTCTTCCAGCATTTCGCAGCATTCCACCACTCCACCTCTTCCAGCATGATGATACCTGCCGTTGAGAAACTATGCACTGCCGTAAGCAAGTCAGGATACGTTTCTGTCACAATCTGAACTATTAAAAAGCCCTCCTCTGTTGCAGTTCTTTCCAACAAGATTGGCGCTGGAAAGCCGTTTCCGTACGACGCGAGTGGCATCTACCTGCTTCTTTCCAGCAAGGATGTCACCGTCCCGGGTTTCTGTACCGAGTATATGGGGTGGCACAGCATGGGCTACATCGATTCCGAATCGCCGGTTGTATTCTCGTTCGTGGGGCATCACGGGCAGTGCAAAGAAGAATGGATTCCGAAACCGTCTCCCAACGGCAACCCTGCGATCGATTTCACGCTTTCAACCATTTCTCATGAGATTGCGGAAGCAGCAACGGACCCAGATGTTCAGACCGGGTGGGGCGACGAGAACGGTGAGAATGCGGACAAGTGTTACATGGACGTTGGTCAGACGAAAACGGGCAAGGACAGCCGCGGTGGAACGTACAAGTACAATCTGGTTGGGATGAAGAGCATGAGGTTTCTGATCCAGAGTAACTGGGACTGGCAGAAGAACAAATGTGTGACGCAGAGGAAGTACCAGTAGGGGGAGGATTTATGTGTGTCATCATGCTCGAATGAAACGTTTCCCATCTCTTTCTGAAGTCTAGATACAATGAATACGGTCCGATGCATGGATGTACCGTGAAATATAAATCAACAGCGCTTCTTTTATGCATCATGATTAGCCAAGCAGAGCCAAGCCTAGTCGATCCAAGCCTAGGAAAAGCAAGGTTCAGCCCAACCCAAGTAAAGCTATTCCAAGCAAATTAAAGCCAAGCCAAGCCAGGTTGGAGGGCAAACCAAGCCAAGCATAGCCAAGCCATGCAAAGCCATGCCAAGCCGGGCTCGACCAGTCCAACCCAGGACAAGCCTAGCCAAGCCAAGAATCGCCAGGCCAGGACAGGCCAGACCAAGCCAGGCCTCGCCAGGCCAAGCAAAGCCAAGCATTGCCAAACATAGTCCATCCAAGCCAATCCAGGCCATGCCAAGCCATGCCAAGACAACTCCATGCATGCCAATCCAAGGCAAGCCAAGAGGATAAATCAAACAAAGCCAAGCCTTGCCAGGACAGTCAAAGCAAAGCATAAGACAAAACAAAACAGGCCAACCTACACCATACCAAGCCAAGTCAAGCCAAGCCAAGCCAAACCAAGCCAAGCCAAGCAAAGCTAGACCAAGCCAGAAATGGAAAGCAGGCCAGACCATGTTCAACCAAGCCAACCCAAGCTTTGCCATGCCTCTGTCAAGCCCAGCCTAGGCTATCCACGCCAGGTCAGGTCAGGCAAGTACAGGTCAAGCCCAGAGAATCCAAGCCAATTCAGGTCAGGCTAGGCAAGTCCATGCCATCCCGACCAGGCCTGGGCAAGGTAGGGTAAGCCAAGCTAGGGTAAACCAAGCTAAGCCACGTATTGGCAGTCAAGGCAAAGAGTTCCCAGTCAAGGCAGGTTTTGTCTAGCCAAGGCAAGTATTGTCTGGTCAAGGCAAGTATTGTCTGGTCAAGGCAAGTATAACCCAGTCAAAACAATTAAAGCCTAGTCAGGCAGATTATAGCCCAGGCTATTATAGCCTGGTCAAACAAGTGTAGCCTAGTCAGCCAAGTATAGCCTAGTCAGCCAAGTATAGCCTAGT